ACCAGAGAGATAAACAATCATGCGAGTGGACCCCCCCTTGTGCCTCCTTCCTCCCCCCCCCCCCACCTTTGTTAAGCCCCCCCCCACCTACACCTGCAAACACGCAGCCCCCCACAAGGCAGACGACGAAAGTCACCCTCAATCACGGTACCCCCCCCTCGCCCCCTTACTCTTTGTTTTTTTTGAAGAAATATATAAAAAAAATTAGGCCCAGGTTTTTTTGAACGGGGGGGGGGGGAAGAAGGGGGGGTTCTGTTTTGTTTTCGATATCCAATGGCCATTTGTTTTGAAAGTTGGGCTGCAGAAGCACATAAGCAATGATAGATGTTTGTTTATGAGGTAGGGGCTCTATATATACATATATATGTATATAATACCTTTCATGGAGGCAGTTACCACTCCGTGTCATTTCCTGATCTTGAAGCTGGTGACGTCAGGTAGCCTGTGACGTCATTTTCCTCCATGGGACGTTCCGGCGCAAACTCAAACCTTCCGCGGGAAGCCTGTAAAGGTTGAACCCAGATCCCCGAACCTTAAACTTCTCAGGTACCAAACTTCCCACCAACCACTTCACGATTGCCGTTGCCGGACATTCGCTATGGAGCGGCTGGACTTCCCCGGTCACCCAGCTGAAAGTCTGTCGGGCACTGGTGTCCATGATTAATAACTATGGAAGAGGCAATCCTCAGCCAAATTGAGGGAAAGGAGATAAGTAGTATATTATTGGGAGGTTTGTATGAGCGCCACCTCATTGCCATATAGACAGTTACTTAGTAAATGCGAAAACACACAGAAAAAGAAGAGAGAAAGAAAGAAAAAACCCGTAATTAGAAGCATACAGACTTTCAACCTTCCTTATTGTCGGAAGTCTAAAGACAAAAACCAAAAATATAAAAAAGTCTCTCTATATACAAGAAAAATGAAACCCATCTCAACCTTTTACAAGGGAGTCGGTGATGCTTCTGCTCTTTCCAGCCCTCCCTCACTATGTAAATTCTGCGCCTCAAACGGGAGAGTGGTGTGATATTGAATTACTATTAGGACACATGTTCGTTTTGTGGGAAGGGGAAGAGGGTAACCAGCATATCGCGAATGAAATTCAAAAAACCCGAAATATGAAGCGCGATAGTAAAGCGATGTTGTTGCTTATGGAACGAAGGGGGTAATAACTTCAAGACAAAAAGGTGGGAAATGAAGCAAGGGGAACCTTTTTGTACGGAAGATATATCGGTAACTAGAATTGGCGAGAATGCCACTAGCCTAGCCTAACTTCAACCATTCATTCCAAGGTCCGAGTCCCGGGTTGGGATTTTAAACGGATGACTTACCATGACTGGTACCCAGTCGTAAGTCATCTGCTTCGAGAGGAGGAAACGATTAACTGAAAGAAAGCGGGAGAGATTCACTTCGTAGCTTGCTCGACATCCTTGTTGCTCGTCTACTGGAAACGGAATCAGGAGAGAGCGAAGACACTGTTTTCGCGGTTGATCGATGATGTGGGTGGCGGCTGTGGAAATTCGGGGCTGCATCTCGTGCCCCGTTGCAAGTATGTAGAGCATTTTGTGGCATACCAAGTGCCATGCAGCAGTGCATTGCCAGGGCCCAGATCGGAACGGTTGAGAGTGATCTCGAATTCTGGTACAGTTTACTATGAGTTACGCTGGGCAGGGTTCTGTTACTGAATGCTTTCAAATGCGTAGTGTGGTTACCGAAATTTCTTGGATGCAGTAACACGTTCCCAAATACCAATCCGGTAACATCTGCGAACTTGTTACTGCATTCGAGCAAATTCGGCAACTGTATTACGCATTCGAATACTTTCGGTAAGCGCACTGAGACCCAGCCCGGTCCGCTGCCAGTGTAGAGCACTGCTGTCCTTAAAATAATAGGGCGTAGCATGATCCAGAAAAGCCCTGTTCTGATACAGGGGTCTGCAGTTAATAGTATTATCTGCAACACCAGGGAGGTTGTCCCGAATAGTCCGTTCCCACGTCGAGAATCTAGTACGCAGGAGAGTAGTGCCAGCGTCAGGTAGATGCCGCAAATCATCATCAGATACACTATCTCTCCCCATATCGTACCCGACGGGCCATCTGTGCAAGCCATTTCAGAAACTGAAACCGAGTGCGAGGCACTGCGTTCAAAGGTACGCTGTGCAGAACATTGGTCCCATGTGTTAGCCGGATGTGGCTCGCTGGTGGCGCCGCTGGACACTGCGCGATGCGGCGGCGCGAAATCCATTGTGGGGCTTATGTGGAGGGTGGCTGAAGAAGAGATAGAGGAACTGGCGTCCTTGTATGGGTTCTGCGAAGAGACGGACTGTGACTCCCCATTTTGGACGACAGGGGGATGTTGGGTGAATAATTGTCCATGGGAAACCGGCGCATTAGTCCCGCTAACGGCAGCGTGACTCGTTACTGGCAGGTGGTGAGTTGCGTCTGCGGCGAGCCGGCGAGCCAACAGAGTTGACAGCGCCTCTGTGTCATTTGGCGGGATACCGTGTGATAATGTGTTTGGCAAAAGGGCGGCCAGAAGGGCGTTGCGGCTTGGGCGATTGTGCAGAGTGTTGTCCCTTGCAGACACTGCAGCAAGTATCATATCCTGCCGTTGTATTTCTTGGCCATCAGCAATATCGGGATGCCTGACCGGTCTCGATATCCAGCCTAGTTCGCTTGCATTCTGCGGCTGGTTGTTATGGCAGTGTCTGAGGTCATCTACCTTGGGGTTCCAGCGTGGAGAGGGCATATTACTAACCCCAGGATCGTAGTCCCATGGGTAATCTGGCATTGGGCTGGAGGACGTGTAAATGTCGCATGGAGAAGAGTATTGGTTGCGAGAACAACGGAACATAGATCTACGTGGGATCTCCATCAGGTAGTCATCGGGATACGTTGGTATCATTTCATCTAATCTGGAGCGACATTCACAGTGTAAAGAGCTGCAGAACTGTCCAGAGCAGCGTTGTGAAGTGTCCTCGATCGAGTTGAGATAATCTTTCTCTGAGGATAGGGACTTGTCTAGCCCACCGGACCGCTGTCGCTGTAGAGAGGGGTGGTGAGACCGCAGATCCCCGGCCCATTCCGTCTGGATAACTCTTGGTGTTTTGCAGATAGATTTTCGAGTACATTTCATTTTTGCTTGCTTTCGCTTCATATCCATGACGGGAGATGTAGCACAAGTGCACTAAATAGACTGTTAGGAAAACGGGATACCGCAATCAATTGTGTTAGAGGACAGGAGAAGGGGAAGGGCAGTAATTTTTTATTTTTTTTATATTTTGTTTTATTTTATTTTTTATTTTTATTTTTTTTGAAAGAGATAAAAATAGGGAAGAGAGAGAGAAAAAAAAAAAGAAAGAAAGAAAAAAAGAAAAAAAGAAAAAAAAAAAAACTTACTCTCTTGCGTTGCTTCCGATGCCATTCACAGGCGCCCTGCTTGCGAACCGCAATGTACCGCCGTCGCTCCTCCTGGGTCTTTGGGCGATGTTTCCTCGGGAGTGACGTCGCCTCATTCATATTGAGATCCAGGACCATCTGAACGCCGCCGGTAATGGGTGGTTGTGCAGCTTGGGAAGGGCCAGCTGATGATGCTGACTTGGCTGGAATGCTGGTGTTGATGCAGGGAGATCGTTTTGGGAGGGCGCCAGTCGACGAGGCGGGAGATCCAGTCACGGTAGAGAATGACTGGGCATCGAATGACGAGCCGATCGTACTCGTAGAGCTCTGCTGCCAGACCATTGGCGGTGCATAGGGAAGGTTCTCTTCAACGAAACAGGGGCCCAGAACATTGTGGAGTTCGGAATAAATGGCAATCGAAGCATCCATTTGCTTCCGCTGCTGCGGAACAGGTCGGGGATCCGCAGCTGCTCTGGACATGACAATGTCCCGCAAGGTAGATTTAACCCAGTTGAGGCGCCGATTGGGGTCAGCGGCGGATGAGGGCGACATGGTCTCCGGAAACGATGTATCAGGAGGGGAAACCTTGGAGCAGAAATCTTGGAAGGACAGAAGGGTATCAGAGCAGATGGAGGATGGGTCAGGGAGGCAATCTATGTGGGAAAAGGAAGAATCGTCCACAGTAGAGCGGGAAGCAGGCATGGGGAAGGCAGGTTCAGTGGAGGCAGTGGAGGCAGTGGAGGTGAAGAGGCCGGGATTGAAGAAGTCCCAGGCCGAAGAGTCGTATGGAATATCAATGTCGGGAAGCTTGATAAACTCGCAGTCCACCGCAAGACCGGAGCTCATGTGGGAGGTGAAGCACAGGTCGTCCTCCAGAGGAGCAAGGCCAACTTGACTGTTGTTGACGCATGGGGTTTCCTCCTCCACGCGGGAGGATGAATACATGAATGAGGCATCCATGCTGTACAGAATGAGATACCGGGGATTCAGAATGAAGAGATGTGGTGTATGCAGACTGAATAATGTCAGGAGGGGATAGTGGAATGCCAAATATGATATCTTCACCAGCGTTTTGTTCTAATTCTAGCCCAGACGTTGAGGATCAGACAAGCTTCGCCAATCTGCAGTCCTCGATTGAGCAATCGGGCAGTTAGTCTCACAGCGATTCGCACGCTTTCTTCCACGCCTGATATGGCTCAGAAGGCAAGGAAATCAACAGGCAGCTCTGGCTGAAACTGGGGTGTGTGTATGAGAGGAGAGAACCAGGGGGTCTCTTGGACCGAGAGCGCCAGGACCTCTCTCTTGGGGCAGAGGAGAGGCAGGTCGGTTATGACAAGTCAGGATTGGAACAGGTATCTCTTTGTACGTCGAAGCTATGAGGAAGAAAGAAGAAGTAGAAGAAGAATGAAAGAAAGAAAGAAAGAAAGAAAGAAAGAAATAAGAGAACTGGAGAGCAGAGGGAGAGGGAGAGAGAGAGAGAGAGGTGAGGGAGACCGAGGAGAAGGGGGTGGGGGGGGGGGGCACACGAAAATTTCTTAAAGGGGGCGCGGGGTAGACTTAAAATCACCCACCACCCCCCCCCCCCCAAAAGAGGAGCCCCCCACAACTCTCCCCAAAGCCAACCCCCCCCCCCCCCCCCCCAGTCCCCTGTGAGTTGATGGATGGTTTAATTAATGCTAGGGGCAGGGCTAGGGGGCTTGTGCCGTTAGGCTGGCGGTTTATTGGCGGCTTTGATTGGTGGGTGACTGGCTGTGATTGGCGGTTGGCCGGCGGGTGACTGGCGGCAAGCAGCCCTGATTGGGATCCCCCGACTTAGGGTTACGCTAAACCCATTCCGGTGCCCGCTCCTAAGGGGAAGCGGCGAAGACTCAGCGGGCCGGAAGGAAGACACCAAGCCCTTCTCAACCAATAGGGACCCGCAACGGTGGCTCGCTGTCCTCGGAAACCTTATTTCCGGCGTTTTACGTCAACGCTGATAACTAATTTAACTAGTACGAGTAAAAGGGTCAATCATTATCAACTCAGCAGAGAGATATCACCAAGATACGCAGTCAAAATGCGTTGACATCTTAAACAGTTCTAGGGGTAATACACGTGATGCTTGAGATGATCCAAACGGAAAAAGTAAAAATATATATTTTTAATGCATCAACTTCTATAAAAGAAGATTTCTATGTATATTGAGATGACGAAGCTTCTGCACTGGTTTCAAGAATAGAGATGTTTACTATAATCAACTGTTTGTTGTTGCATGACACCTGAACAAGCAGTTTACCTGATCAACTGACGTTTGGGATGATGCATCTGATTAGTCAATGTATATCACAAACTTCCCCTTTTTTTTTTTTTTTTTTTTTTTTTTTTTTTTAATAAGAGACATAAGCACGGCATGCATGACTTGTATCTCGGGGCTGGCAGTTCCAGCCCCCCCCAGTTTCAACCCGTCTTCCTTCTCAGAAGCAGGCAGGCTTGTGACCCATTCACCATAGAAGCATGCGCAAATATGACATCCTGCGGAGAATCACCCTTGGCTTTGTCAATCATGGCATTTTCCTGTAGGCCATCAGTTGTCATGATGGCCCCCTCGCTCATGGGCCGTTCTCCTGAATCTAGAAATATATGCCTTCTCCTATTCAGCTGAAATACAGATGATATGCGAGCGAGCATAACGAGGATAATAGGGAATGCAGCTAAGGTGATGTTTTTAGCGTCACATAGAAGAAGAAAGGGGGTCGCAGTTGCTGACCATGCAGCACGAAAGCATCAGCAATGACGATGCCACCGAGCAGGTTGAAGATTAATCCTGTCGCTCTTCCTCTGAGTTAATCTATACGGTGTTGTCACTTTGAGGATTTCCGAGGGCAAAGGTTTGAAGCAACATAATTTCACACAAAAGACACAACTTTCCAGACTTCCCAGGGCAAGTCCATATCATACCACAAGCCATGGCTTTTCAGGCTCTGCTGAATTCAGCAAGGTAACAGGAATCACTGAGCTGTAGTTAATACCATTTATGTAATCTTTTATATAGATAGCCCTTCTATCCGGAGTGGGAAAATAACTACTTTCCGGCTTGACACAGTCTCCATTCATTCATTAGCTCTGTTTATTCGATCCAGCATGTCATGGTGCTGTACTACGGGCTTAACAACCCTTTTTCAGCCCGGAGCTGCGGAACGAGGGAATCGACAGCGAAGTGCAGGCTTAACGAAGCCTATACGGAAATCCTAGCTAAAAAGGAACTAGGCGAAAGCCCTGTTAGTACAGGCCGGCTGCTGCAAGAGCTGCACGGAAGCCCTAGTAGCAAAGACTAGGCTCGAAGCCTTGACTGGCGGATCAAGCATATATATACAGTGGATTCCAGGATTCAATATAGGGCCGGAACAGAACTTCCTAAGTTGAGTAGCAGCAATTACGCCCACTGGTCGGGGCCAGATTCAACGATATTTAATGAGCAAGAAAGCATGGAAGCCCGTACGAGAGATTACAAAGATATGGAATGAGACCGCGACTGCATTTGAAAGGATGCGTAGTGTTACCCCAACTGCTAGCCCACTGAATCCCGGAGTTGAATCTGCGGACGAGCGCATCCAACCCCTAGCCGATGATGAAGATTGGAGGGCACTGAATGCAAAAGCTCCAATGACGATATCAAAGACCATCAGCCCAGGAGATCAAACAGCAATCAGGCATATGATGTACGCAGGGATGTACGCAGGGATGTACGCAGAGGATCAGTGGCTATTCCTAGAGAAGAGATATGGAACAGTTAGTGGTGTGACCCTGAATGGCATGCGAAAGCAGATCTCAAATTGGAAGCTTGAACCAGGTCAGGATCCTACAGATGGATTAGGCCAATTGGAAGCTCTAGTATATGACCAGAGCCACTGGGCGAGTTGAATATCCTTGGGATCAATTACGGTTGACATTCCTCCAAGGTTTACCAAAAGAATATGAAGCCTCGGTGTGGCAAGCAGTTGGGAGGAGTGAAGAGTTGCTAGCAAAGCCAGAGCAACACCAGAAGGAATCTTATCCTTCAGCGGTTCAATGACACCATGCTGAGATGGAAGAATGCTCAAGGGCCTAGTGTGTCAGTCAGTCGAATCAGGTGGAAGAAGGAAAGTGAAGTGCTTCAACTGCGGCAAGAAAGGTCGTTTTGCTAAGGAATGCAAGGAAGCTGGCAAAGATGGAGAATCTAGCGAAGACAAGCTCTCTCCACGAGCTGAGGAGGGAATCTTCTTTGGCTATACAGAATCACAGAATCAGTGTCTTGTTTACACGCAGAAGAAGCAGGTAATCAAGGTCACTTCCCCGAAGTTTGTTGAGACTGCCAAAATTTCCAATCCAGGGGGAGAGAAGCAAGGGGGAGCGAATGAAGAATTCGAAAGTTTGATAGATCTACCAACACTGAATTCTTCAGTCAATCAGACACCCCGAACAGTTGAGATCAGTGATTCCGATAGTGAGTCTGGCAATGAAGGCCGCGTTAGGAAGCCAGCCAGCTAGAAAGTTTAATAAAGGATCTGAATGAAGAAGCTGAACTTCACAGCCCTGGCAGCGAATATACAGACGAGCGAATTGGGGAACCAATTGGTGAATTGTTGTGTCAAGTTCACATATCAGTCAGCAAGAATCACCACCAGCTTTTCAAGACCTAAGCGGCAGCCAAAGAAGCCACTGAGAGCGAAACCTATATCAATAATAGAGGCAAGAAGCACAGAGAATCCGAACGAGTTCAACTTATTAGAGAACAAGGGATGCTAGAAGATGAAATCCATGAATCCATAATGTTGGCCAAGAGGTTGGATACCAATCCCTTAAAGAAAGTCCCTGAACCGAATACCTACCAAGATGCCATCACAGACCCACTACATGCTCAGCGCTGGCGCAAGGCAATTGCGGAAGAATGACAAAGCCTCACCAAATTTGATACTTGGAAGGTAGTTGAACGCACAGCCAGTGAGCCAGTTGTTTCATGCAAGTGGGTATTCAAGGTCAAATACAACCTCCAAACTGGAGAGCCTGGGCGGTTCAAGGCCAGACTGGTAGCCAGGGGCTTCTCCCAACAATATGGTGTTGATTACAATGATACGTTCGCCCCTGTCATCCGACTAGAGAGCCTTCGAATGCTACTCACACTAGCCGTAAAGCACGACTGGCACATAAGCCTGCTAGACGCAATGAACGCGTACGTCGGCTCGAAGCTTGATAAACAAATTCACATGGAATTGCCTGAAGGAATTGAACTGCTAGGCAAGTTCAATGATAACGCAGTCCTACTACTGCTTAAGAGCTTATTTGGATTGAAGCAGTCAGGATTTCTATGGAACCGTAAGATTAGCAATCATATTCAAGATATTGGTTTCAAACCCCCTCACCAGCCGACCTCGGAGTATTTGTCAACAAACACGGTACAATTATAGCCTTATATGTCGACGATATTCTAATCCTAGGGAAGAACAAGAATGATATTGAATCTGTGAAGCAACAAATGAGAGAATTCCACCCTATGAAGGATGCCGGCAAATTAACGAAGATTCTCTTGGTATAGAGATTGAGGATGAGTTATGCAACACCTGTTTCTCTCAGCCCCAGCAAAAAAAACTAGAGAAATCAGAGTCTCGTCCATTAGATTCAAAATGAACATTTCTTATTCCGAAAGATTATCGGGAGAATGATGCATTTGGCCATTGGAACACGACTGGATCTAGCCTACGCAACTAGCCGGTTAAGCCAATTAATTCCTGGCTGAACCCCGAGAAGTTCACTTACAAGTGGCGAAGCACGTGCTACGTTATTTGGAAGGGACAGTTCAACTACAAGCTTCAAATCCAGCCCACCAGCGAACTCCTAAGCAGCTACGCTGATACGGCTTATGCTAATGCCACGAAATTCAAGTCTACTAGTGGCCAGGTTTTCATTCTAGGGAGCACGCCAATTACATGGTCATCAAAAAAGCAACCCCTAACAGCGCAATCTAGTACTGAAGCTGAATATATAAGCTTGTCTGATGCGGCCAAACAGGCAATTTGGCTACGCCAGTTCCTCAAGAATACAAGCACCTGGAATGCGAATGAGTTGAGCCTGCCATGCTTTATGTGGATAATGAAGGCTCAATCGCCTTAGCAACCATCCAAACGAGCCATTCTCGAAGTAAGCATATCAATATACGATACCACGCAATTCGAGAATACGTTGAAGCCGGCGAGCTAGAGATTCGTTACCTGCGTAGCACCCAGAATCCGGCAGACCTACTGACCAAGGCGTTAAACAGAACGGAATTCCAGATGCATATCCACAAGCTTGGGTTTTACTAACATCATCAATAATAAGCCTTGCCTTTTTGCCATTCCTCGCTACCTCAATGGAACGTTTGTCTCCGATAGCGATTACAGGGAAGGGGGGGGGGCGAATTCAAGCTGCTCTGGGCTCATCAAGAGGAACCCAAGAATGATGGTTATGAATCGGAGACTATCTGTGTTGATATCAAAGCTCTCTAATGCTATCCCTCCCAGGCAGTCAAATTGCCACAGGCGGAGAAATGGTCCGCAGTGCGTGAGCCCCAGAACAAAACGACTTGAATCCTGAGCTTCCAGGACCTCTGTGGCGTACCTTCCCAAGTTCAAGGCCATTCTCTTGAGAGGCTGTCATGCTTGGGATCATCCTTCAGTTCTCCGGGTATGAGAAAACCTAAGACAAGCGGCATATGGAGTCTTCGGTGTCACTTGGATCATTGACGAAGCCGACATCGAGTTTGCGTGTTGCAATGGGTTCCTCTACAGCAATTTTGGAGCCGAGCCATGTGCCTTTGCAAACTGATTAAGCTCCTGATAAACATCTATCAGTCACTTTAGCACCTTTTTTTCCCCCACTACATGCTCTGGCCAGTCCCTCCACCCCTTCTCTTCATTGTATAGATGCCTTTTGATGGACAAGTCTCACCAGCGGGCGGTAGCAGGTGTAGCGGAAGTCGCCTTTTTGAACACGCTGAAATAGACGCGAAAATTTCCAACGCTACATTGCCGCTGCTAATACTTGACTCAAGAACAAGAACTTGCCTCTGTACCCCGTAAAACAGAAAGCAAGTCGTGATATTGTCTTTTAACAGGCCTCATCAAGCCGATCGAGAGCACCATCATAACAAATTGGGTGTGTCATGTAGAACTTCTCTTTGTCTTGAAGCAAGTCTTGTAAATGACTCAGGGAGTCGTTCAAAGGGTATTTTTCAATGGCGTTTTGATCGCCTTGCGAAAGGTTCGCCATATTAAAACAGAGCGTTGTAAACTCTAGTGGTGTCGGCCACCGGAAATTGATAAGATCGCGGGAGTAGAGAGAGATGCATCGTCTCAGAGCTTTCCAGCAGAAGTACACTGAGTGTCAAAGAGTCATGCAGGCAAAAGGGGCGATGGATACAGGCATAAAAATTCTCCCCAGGATTTGTCTGACAATCACGAAGCCGGGACTACTCGGCAAGGATGGAACTTTGGGCCAACGATTAAATTTGGATGGAATTGGAATCACAAGAAATGTGCTCTAGCTCGACTGGACTGAATTCCCTGCTCCAGTAGCTAAAAGCATGCCCTAATGAAGTTGAATGGTCGCCTCGCGCCGCCTCGTTCGAGATAGAAAACCCTCCTCCTTCCTGCGGCAGCGAAAGCGAGACCATGAGAATAGCCAGGAGATTTGCTGGCTGGAGAGCTGGGCAGTCACAGTGAATGGGTTCCGGTGCCTAGCATATACAATAAAGCAGATACGGATAGGAAAGCAACCCTGGCTTCCTATCATGGCCCACTTGTACGAAAAGCTGGTCGATGGGGGGTGCAGACATAACCGTACCCATGCCAGGTTCACTTGGATGAAACCACATGCGTTCTTCGCATGTAACAACTCGCACTGAAAGAAACGTCTGGCAGGCGGTCCGCTGGATTTGGACGAACGTACCATCAGTCTGGATAACATTTCACGATGAAGCAGCCCCCGGATATCGAGAAATGTTACGGACTAAGATATGCGCCACGGCGGCGGCAGGGAGGTTGCCGACATAGCGAACAAGTGAACATGTGAATATGTGAATATGCGAACAAACGAACAAGTGAACATGCGCACATAGCGGACGCTATGATGGGCTATGTCCGGGTTTACCATAATTGGATCCTAGCAGAACAGAGCGCGCTCGGTTGTGCCCAGGACGTAGCAGGCATTCCGAGCTTTTGGAAGATGAAGACAGAAATTTGAAACAGGTTTATCCATCTCAGCTCCTAAGTTATAATAAGGTTGAAAAGAGCGGCCCTCGGAGTTCTGAGTTAACTATCCCTCCACGCATCCTTGGCTTGTAAGAACTAGCTACGGTTTTTCTAAAAGCCTCCTGGTTAATTAGACGAAAGAACCAGGACCCGCACATACGGGGTTGGTTTTATCTGGTATTCTTCATTTTGTCTGGCAGAAAACAGGAAAACAAGAAGACTGCGCAGACTGCGGCAAGATGGTGTACATGCGAGGAAAGAGGGTGGGAACATGTCCAATATCTCAAATGGTTGTTCTGTGGTGTAGAGGACGGAGCAAGGAGTCAATGTATGCATGTGTTGTATCTTACCCTTGAGCCATGCTCCAGAATAGTTTGACCACGATTGACTATTCTGATGAGCAGGGAAAATGTCCTATATCCAACAGCTAAAACAAACCATGAAAACAAGAAGGGAAACAAGTGCTTTATTCCAAGAACAATGTATATAAAACAAAATGGGAATTGAAGACAACTATGTGGTTATATATATATGAATGTAAACCAAAATGAAAAACCCAGAATTAAGAAATCGAAGAAACCAAGGAGAGAAATGATATCCATCTATCTACATCGCCCATCGTCGCAGGACGCTATACCCTCAATTTAAGCAAAACTCCACCCTCAATTGCAGCGGCTGGCATCTCTTCCCACCCTCGCCTCGCTTTTCTTGACGAAACTGGAAGAAACAGATAGCCTCCTGCAAGATGACTACATCGTCAACGACTTCATTGTCAAGATCCGCACAGTCCCGCTCTAGCTGTGCAGTCCATGCTTCTTCTGTGCTGGATCTTCATCGAGTTTATCCTCGTCATCATAGAGATCTAAACTCTCAACGTCATCACCGTCCCCTCCGTCAGTCTCGAGATCCTTCCCAGCATTCTCGCCCTTCCCGCTAGTTTTCAAAGCGTGCTTCCTGTTCTCGTCCCTCCCGCTGGCCTCCAGATCATCGTCGCCATCGCCATCGTCATCACCTGTGTCCAGGTCGTCTGCACCGCCCACATCCGCCTCGTCGTCGTCCAAGTCATCTGCGCCGTCCACATCCGCCTCATCGTCGTCCAAATCAAACCTGGAACTGTCATGGCTGCCAGATTTGAGAGAGTTCTCGTCATCCTCCGCATCATCTCCGTCGTCCAGGTCATCGACTAGACCTTTGCTGTTGGAATTTGAGGCATGTCCGTCGGACAATGTATCTTCTCCGTAGTCGTCGTCATCGTCCAAACCCCCGTCCTCATCCCAATCCTTCCAGTCGATATCCAAATCATCCCCATCCGCCTCATCATCATCATCATCATCATCATCATCATCATCGTCATCGTCACCGTACCCATCTTCCCCGTCAGCTTCCAAAGAACCCTCAGCATCATCACCCTGATCTCTCTCTCCAGGTTCTAAATCATCGTCATCGTCATCATCATCATCATCCCCACCCTTTCCGCTAAGCTGTAAATCGTTGTCGTCCTCTTTACGATCACCGGCCTTCCCATCTGGTCGCAGTTTGGACACCTCATCAACGCACAAGAACGAACCGATAGGCAACGCAGCCTTGGAGTATTTTGCAAACACGACATCTTTGCCCTTTCTGAAGGGCTCGCCTAGTTCGTCGCGGCCGTTGGGGTCTGCGTACGCTTGGCAGTAGATCCCTGGTTCTTTGACAGATGCGCCATATCCGCTACTTGCGGAGCCTGGATGGGATAAAGGAGGGTATGTTAGTAGATATAAATACAAATATATATATATATATATATATATATAAGCGTGATACGTGTCGAGGCGCATTTAAGGTCTGTATGTTTCTCAGGGGTTGTTTCGAGTGACATACGATATGTTCTCTCCAGCTCATCTAGCTTTACAACGAGATTAACATGTTTATCTTCAGCTGTCTTGACCTCGACCTGGAATAATGCCGAAGCGACGGCTGCGCACGAGGCGAGCAGAAAGCCCATGGTGGCCTTCATTTTCACAGCCCTTCCCCCTTCCCGAGCTCTCTATGAATTTCTGTAAGACGACGCGGAGAGATTGGGTATCCACAACGAGAGTATAGAATGATGGCAATGAAACACGAGCGCCCTTTTTATACAGAGCAGATAAATCGAAGGAAGGAGAGGGAATATAAAGAGGAAAATGAAAGGAAAATAGAGATCCCCCCAATAGTAATATGAACGAGCAACAAAACAGAAGAAAAACGATAATCCGGGAATATTAAAGGAGGGTGAGTTTAAGAATGATAAGGGATAAAGAATAAAATATAAAAAATAAAAATAAATAAAAAAAGGAGAGTGGATGCCAGGCGCGAAGGAGTTATATACGAGCCAATATGAAGCAATTCCCCGACTCCAAATGCCACCCGCACTGCCCTGTTCATCTCACAGCCTGGCCGTCATTATTGGCGGATTCCCTGCTGCCGAGTCCCCAGTGCCAGTCTAAATGGTCTGTTTTGGCAGTTCTGCGCCAACTCTCGTGCCGAACAACCAGCCTTGAGCCAGGCGGACGCTGTGCCCAGAGGCGCTAGATTTGGGCGGATCAGGGGTTGGCACCGTAATGTCGCGGGATGAGCCTAGACCGGGGGGGGGAAGAAGAGTAATCTCGCTGCGCCTATTCTTAGACATCGTCGCCCGCAACGACTGTCTGGAGGGTTTTAGGAGTTGGTCAAGTGTCATAGTCTCCCGCTCTGCTTCCAATAATAGTCTCGGGCGGTTGGGTTTTCTCGCAGCGATGTTTGGGGCTGATGTGAGTATTTAGATTAATGATCAGTGAGTTTTCTGATGATTTATTCGTGGCATTTCTGTTGTTTCACCAGCGATGGAGGAAGAAAACATCCTCTCGATTCACAGGTTGACCTTCAACCAGGTAACTATGAATGGTGTAGTAACTTAAATATTATTCCGCGTCCACTCAGCATCGAAACAGAGGGTGCAAACCACGCAGTCCGAGGCCATTCCCTCCCTAAGTAGAGGGACGAGTCAACCTGACATAAATCACAGACCCAACCTATCGAAGAATAAAATTGCAGCAACGGATGTGAACATTGTGAAGTGTGAGATCTTTGTAACCTTGTCACAGAAGCCTCTGGTTCACAGCCTCTGGTTCACAATTGGGGCGTTTCAAAAGAAAAAAAAAAAAAAAAAAAAAAAAATTCTAACGGCTGCGAACTAGGGCGAACTGTGTCCAATTCTCTCAACAGCCGGATGTATTCATGATGAATGTGGTGTCTTTAAGAGCATTTTAAGTATTTGAACCTTGCGAAACCTGAGAAAACCTAGCAGCGGACATTCTTCATCCTGGAGAGTTGAAAAAGACCCGCCATCTGCTGCGTAGTTATGCGACAAGAGTGAGCACCGAGCACATTATGGTTGCCGGTAAGATCTTATCTTCGCTCTTCAACATTGCATGGAATTCTTTTCTCTCTTGCTTAATGAGCTTCTCCATAATATTATCCCCTGCCCCAAATGTGCCGTTTTTAGACTTTCCTGGAAATTTAGCTTTGCCTTATCTTTTTCAATCCCCTGCCTCTTCGCTAAGAGGATACCAAGATGAATGAATCTCCAGAAGCCAGTGAGCGCGCCCAGAGCTGGCTCCAGTACGCCATCCTCGAGAAATTGGAAATCCAATTGACAGACAACCAGCCCCCGAGCGGATTTGCGCCGTTGTTTCCGTTCCTACAGACCAGCTAATGTAACAACGTGGCCTGGTAATGCATGACACCCAGGTATACAGAAATTGAACGCTTCGTTATCACCCCACAGTTCCGAGGTCCAGAGTTACTTGCAAGAACGGCAGTCCCTGAATGCTCTAGGACCCCTCTGATTGAGGGGAAGGGGGTTGGCGCTGGGTGGTGGCTATCTCCCGATTGGAAATCTGGTGAAGCGCCCACCGAATCTTGGAGGGGACGACCAAAATGGCCTTGATCCAATCAATACTTTAAAAGGCCGACAAATGCATTCCATTGCGGCTGCTTGTTCAACAGGAAAGGGCTCGAGTTGAGGAAGCGCCTTGCAGCTTCTGGGGCCAAATGGTCTGCAGCGCTCCGAGTTTCCTTAGAAAGCGTCTGCAGTAGATAACCCGGTGTCTCTCATGGCATTGTTGCTGTGTCGGGCCACTAAAGCTGCCATTTTTTGCCTCGCAGCAAATAGAATGTATCTATCACATAGATGTGCCGAGCCGAAATTGATGTCAAGCTGTCTCCGACAAACTTAGTTCTCGCCAGCTGTTTCGACCACCTGTGTTTCCCCAGGTATGTCAGAGAGGGAGGCCAGTATCGAAAGTCTCGCAATCACCGTAACCAGGCCCACAGAGATCTTCATTGTACTACTCAGAAGCTTGCGGTTGGGAATGATGAGACTGGACGTATTTGCCGTAAGCAGGTGTAAAGTAGGCAGCGATTCATGTTGTACCTGGGCTATACTTATTATACATACCGACCTTCAGCCTCCACTTCCAGAGATCTCCCATCTTTCCAGGCGCCGGAATGAAATGGCGACATCGCTGCCCTCATAGATAGTCAAGTCTTCGCAGCCGCCAGCCCGAGAGTGCCAAAGCATCCCTGCACGCTGTATATAAAAAATATGGGATGGGATTATGTCCCGCGATAAATAGGGCGGTTGGAGGCGCAGAATCTTCTCTGATCTAGTTATCTGTACGGAGACCTCCGCGCAACTAACCTCCCAGCCTGCGTGTCGTATGTCTCTGGATCAGGCCAACCTTGTTTGTTCGCCTTCAGCTATTGACGAGCAGCACAAACCGAAGACAGACTCGGAATAGTAACTGCGGACGGTCATGTCTACCCGTAACTTCACATCGTCCTCTTCAGGTCGGGTCCTGACTCCTATGGAGCGATGCTGAATAACTAACTAGCTAGCTAGCTATCGCGGGTTTGCTTTAAACAGCGGTTTGACACTATCCCGCTGGATCGGCGTGACAAAGTGGGCCCTGCTAGGGCTGGACAAGTCGACCAACAGACTGTGTGTCGCGGAAATGTGGAGTCAACAGGAGAGATTTATCTTCCGTGTAACTATGTCTCAGGAATGTGCGTGTGTGTATGCGCGACAGGGCAACGATTCTTCAGGGCGTTTTCCTAGCTACATCAGAGAATCAGTTTACGGCCCGGCTGCCTTGCCTTGCCTTGCCTTGCCTTGCCTTGCTTAACTAGTTACCATCTCATTTTTGGACCTGTTTGCGAAGCATGTCATTACAAGCACAGCTTAAATATGATGATGTTTGGGATATGGAAACAGGTCCGGATGTCAGAGTAAAGGCGCTTTTTTTTAGAGAACCCCTGTTGCAGAGGAATTTCATCCAAGACCTGATAAAAAGGAATCCTTGAAAAATGCCTTGTCTGCCTCCACCAAATACTGCTATCTGTAGTTAGACAGAGGTCAGCGGGATATTTGACTCTCGCATCACAGCATCCTTCTGTATATGTGTTTTAGGCATTTGACACAGCAGTGGGTAAAGCCCGTTGGACAGGAACAACAGGCAATCAGCGAAGAAACGCAAAACTGGTCATTTCTTTCTTTTTTTTTTTTTTTTTTTTTTCATAAACAGAGGCGCCTCTCATTCATGCACGTACTCCGCATGCCGGAAACCAACTATCCCGATGAAAGATACAAAATCCATCTTATCAGACAGTTATTTTGGCGTTCAACTTTATATGTGGACAAGACTAAACGATCACGAAAACACCCTGAAAAACATGATTCTTTTCCCGTGGAATATTCCACTTGGCTCTCATGGCCCTCAATCACCAAATCGTGGAATGGCCTTAAAAAGAGGAAAAATAATAGAATCGAATCGCGCGCAAATAGATCTGAGCCGGCCCTGAACATTCCGTAAGCACCTCAAAAGAAAAGGGTTATACAACAATTTCGATTTCAAGAGGTCAAATATAAACACCACATGCTTCGATTCGGTCCAGTTCCAGCAGCAACTTTCACAGAAAGCCCCTCTTAGCGACATTGCCACTCCTCCCCCTCCCCGGCCGCTCTACACTTGGGCCATTGATGGGTGACCCCGTCGGCCAGGACGGGGACCATGCATCTCAGCCATCGTTCCACGTACTCCAAGCCCAGAGATGACTGTCGAGGCTATAAATGCAGCCCACAGGAACCAGAGGAAGGCTGTGGCCGCCTGCGCTTCACGGCAGCGCTTCTCCTGGTCCGGTGCACCTCTGGTTATCGAGTTTGTGGAGGTGAAGGCCTGCAAAAGATGGATTTGCCAGGTCAGTATAAACCAGTCTTCTCCAAATCGCATGTTCCTTTGGGTGTAAAATATTCTTCCCACGCCTTTCCCCTTTCTTTCTTTCTTTCTTTCTTTCTTTCTTTCTTTCTTGTTTTGCCTTTTTGTCTGCAACACGTACCTCGTTACTGCAATCACGCACGCGCAGCTTTAAGGACAGAGCCACCGCACCGCAGAAAATGAAGATGTCATTCAGCAAATCGACGAAGCAGACGACGAGGGGGTGAATCATGAACGACTCGCTGATGGCGGCGGCGGTCAGGTAGAAGAGTGTCAGCATTGAAAATGCCGATACGAATAGGATGTAGCTCACTGATGCAGCGCTGCCGTGGAAGGCGTCTGCTATCATATTGCCGATGAGAGCCATGATGATTATCGTGAAGAACCACTGTGTGGACTCAAAGAGTGCTTCAGCAATCAAGGTTTCCCTCCTGTGCTTTGGGAATTCGACGTGTGATGGGAGGCCAAGGGGTTGCTGTTCTCGGTGATGCATACCTCGACACCCCGAAGGGCTATGTTGATCATTCTCAATGCCATTGTGATTGTGTTTTTGTGCGCACGCTGGATGCCCAGATGCGCGAGACGTGGTGACGTGTGTGCACCGTTTCCCAATCTGATAATAATGACGCTATGGCCCGTATGCAGAGAAATTGTGAGATATCAAATATCCGCTCGTAGTGCCAGTAGAGACGTTTGGTTAATCATACCAGAGGTAGCTCAGAATCTCCGAAGCTCAGAAATCAAATCGCTGAATTGCAGTCGAAAAAAGCTGTGTTTCAGGAGGCGAATAACAGGCCTTGGGAACAAAGGCACTTAAAAGTGGGTGGACGGGAAGCCCATTTATGAGTGCAGTCCACGTAGGCTACGTCATATCGCTTCCCTTTCAGCTTCATTCCTGGGAGTTTTGAATTAAGGTTGGTTGTATTTGCCATTTTGCAAGCTTTGCTTTTCCGATCGGAATTCAATTGCAGCCTGAGCCATATTGTTCGGGTTGTCTGCCATTGAGCCAAGTGGATGTGGTCTGGATGGCCATGATGTCATACCACGTGTTGCCAGCTGGGAGCTTGGGGTTCAAGCCACAAACATCCCAGGTTCGTTCGTTTTGGCGATGAAGTCAAGCAGGGGGGGGGGGGGGGGGGGGGTTGAATGTTTCGTGATTAGATCATCGTGTGCGAAACTTAGTCTGATCCGGGTGGGCTGTCTGTTCTGCTGTTCTGCTGTTCTGCTGCGTTCGGGCCTCGATCGTGATCTTCGGCAGTGGAAGGACGTAACTCAACTGGGCCCCAATTGTTTGCGCCTCCCCGAGATGAAGCAGAAGATGAGGGTTCTTGACTCGGTGAAGGCCCCGTTTATGTTCTAAGCAGGAGAAGAAGTCTCAGGTTCGCAGGTCTGCCGAAAAATCAACATCACGTTTGTTGTTGTGCTTGAATCCTCCAACCGGCTGCTGTCACATGTGTCACAACCAAGAACCAACCCCATCACAACATTCGACAGGAGGGATTTCATTCGATATCTTGGTTTCCAGCATGTAGAGGGTCCATCCTCTACCGAATTATTCTGAAACCCCGAACGTCAGAGCAGGGCGGTCTGCCAGCAAACAATCCCTGCAATAAACATTTGGTTGGAGAAAGTCAAAATATGATGCAATGCTGGGTGCTTACCTAGTGCAGTGCGCAAGGTGCAGCCGGGAACCACAAATGAAGAATTGAGAGATGCAACTCCGTCGCCTGTGAAATCTGAGGAGATCCATTTGCTCGAGTCCCGGACCGAGGGGAAAGGTTCTCGGACCATGTGGTTATTCACGTTTGACGTCTTAATCGATGTCGGTGGCTGTAGGGTGAGGTGATCTGAGGTGTTTGAGATGTTTTTTCCACATTGTCGATAGGGAGAAGTTTTGAGCTTTTGATATGATGGGGGGACTATTGGGTGATTGGTTGGTAGAGAAGGAACCACGGCATTAATTATCATAGGACGATATGAAGCTTGTCCAGCCAGAGGCTGAGTTCCAAGTTCAAAAAGAAGCAGATTCTTGAGGAATACGTTATCCATCCCTTCTTCCCGGAGGAAGAAAGCGGGAAAAGAGCCAGAGTTATTATATAAGACCGGGGCTGGCTTCCATCGCCGTACAAAGCGCCATTATTACAAATATAGGCTGTTAAATCTCTACAAATATTCATGTCCTCTGGTTCACCACCGTGAACCCACAGGCCTCAAACGAAACTAACTCTTTGATCAGAAGAAACCAAGTCAGCCCTACTCAAACCAAGTCGTTGTCTTCAAGGTCAAGAACAGGACAGTTGCAAAAGAGAGAGGGAGAAAGGAAGAGGCCATCAGAGAGAAGATTAAATGTTCGTCACTGCCCTATATAACCTACATCCCAAGCTCTCCGATTCATGGCCCTTGCTTGTGCAAGGGACAGGATAAGACGAGGATGCGATGTAGGCTATTTTCAACGGGCGTACGACTAAGGATGACGATATGGAGTTCTCATCATTTGGTTTGGAGGCTGCACGGATATAGACAGGCATCACGCAGAATGAAAGAGGGGCAAGAGGGACGAGGCAAGGGAGGGAGGCGAGAGAGGTGGGCAGCGATGCGATGTAGACATTGATAACATACCTATTCGATGAAGTTGTGACACTGCCCATCTTTTGCTTTCTGGGAGTGGTTTTTTTTTTTTTTTTTCTTTCCGTATTCCGCTTCATTCTTTCGGATCTGCATTTCCGTATGTCACATCAAAAGAGAAATTGTCATGGCAATTGCAAGAAGCAAATGATATCGAGCATCGAAGAAAGTCTTTAGTACTTAGATAATATGTCCATATCTCCTCAAAGATGTCAACCCCACCAAGCCAACCAAGGCAAACCAACCAACCAACCGCCCACACCATCCGCAAAAACTGAAGAAAAGAAAAAGGCTTGCATAATCATCACGCATGCAAACTACAGCATAGCATAGCATAGCATACACATCTTGATATGAAAAAGAGGGGGTCATCAAGGCATTAAAAGCTTGCTATCAACGTATTAATAAGAAGAAGAAATGAAAGAAGAGAAAAGAAGAGAAGAGAGGGAGAGAGAGAGAGAGAGAATCAGTTTTAAGTGGGCAGCCGGTAAACTAAGCCAGGCAAACACCCACCAAAGACTGTCAAACACAGCATCTGGGGGAAAGGGGAAAAGAAGAAAAGGGGAAAAGGGGAAAAGGGGAAAAAGGGGAATTGGCAAACGATCTCAACTCGCAACAGCCAACTGTGCAACAAGGTCCGACGCAACATCCAGGAACGGATAGGGACTCGTAACCTCCTTCTCCCGATTCCGAATCCGCTTGCTGGTAGGCTTCCACTCACCACCACCACCACCACCAGCAGCACCACCAGCAGCACCACCATCCTCATTCTCAACACGTATCACATTCTGGTACCCATCGCACTTAAAATCGACCATGAAATTGTTCGCCTCGAGCTGATATAGCTGTATATCGATGAACACCCAGACACCGTAGGCCAGCGGGTTGGGGTCTGAACCTGCCGGTGCTACTGACGACGACGACGAGGAGGAGGAGGAGGACCCCGCGGCTTCCGCTGTGGAGTTTGCTGTGGATGCGGGGCCCGTCGTCGTGCTTGTGTTGTCGACTGATGAGTTGCTGCGGCCCATGGCGGCGGCTTTCTCTTCTGGGTTTATCATTGCGTTTATCCGTCGGTTATACTCTTCTAGATCGCTGCTGCTGAAATGGGCGCTGCTTGAGAGGCCGGGGCTGAGGACGCCTTCTTTCAGCAGGCGGGCGCGGATGAACCAGAGGTCTTTCGGGATGTAGTAGTCTGCTGGGAGATTGGGGTACTTTTTTTGCAAGGGTTTTGGGATGTCTGAGGACATTTCGGGGGCCTTCTCTTGGCCTTGGTCGTGGTCGTGATCGTGATCGTGATCGTGATCGTGGTTGTGGTTGTGGTCGTGGTCGTGGTCGTGGTCGTGGTCGTGGTCGTGGTCGTGGTCGTGGTCGCCGTCTGTATATAGGGAAAGAGTACGAGGGGTGTGTGTTAGACGATGTTTTATTGAATAAAAAAGAAAGAAAGAAAAAATCAAATCAGGTGGAAATAATTGGATGAGAAAAACGCTTACCTGCTTCGGCGGGCTGGATTTCCCAAACCCCACCCTGCCCTTTGATAGCCTTGTATAGACAAAGCATAGCTTCATACGGCTGGTTCCGCGATCGAATGCCAAACTGCCACTTGCGCGATCTCTTCGGTTGCGAAGGTATTTTCTCCAGACTTTCCGGTGGCTCCAAACTGAGCTTCTCCAGATCAACAATGCTGCGCGCATGAGGCTTGAGAGCTCGTACCGTTGCAGCTTGCTCTTCTGGTGATCTCTCCTTGTGGTTGTCAGGGTCGCACTCAGTGCTGTTGTCTTGAAACTGGGGTCGCCCTCGCGAATCCTCCATGGACTCTCCGCTGTCGCGGGAATGTCGCTCCCTCTCGCGTTGGGCCATTATTTGATCGTGGACGTATGGTAGGCTTGTCGGTAGGATTCGTACATGGCTCACACGCTCCTCTTCGACCTCATTCATAGTGAATGCTGGTGTAGGTGTTGATGCGTCAACCGTCGAGGAAGATGCTTGGGATCGATGGAGAGCAAGAGGTGTGGCAGGTGTGCTTTTGGCTCTGCGGGTTGATGTACCACCAGGAGTAGGCGCTGTATCTGTAGCAACGGGGGAGCCCGTGGATAATTCTTCAGAGTCGGTAGGAGCTAAAAGCAAATCAGCATGAACGCTCATTTGACCACAAACGAATCGAATAACAAAACGAAAGCAACTTACAATTTGTTTGCATCATCTCATTTTCCACCACGATGAAGAAAGCGTCCTTGATTACACTGGGCTCCGGCTTTTTCAACGCATCGTATATGTCCTCTCTGTCAACACCCATTCTCTTCTGAAGCTTGCTAATCGCAATCTGCTGGATTTTCTCCTGCACAGCAATGGTTCGTCCTGGCGCTATCCTGCGGGGGTCGAAAGTGCTGTTGGGATTTGCTCCTGTGCCAACCCACTCCTCCGCGGGGGGTTGAAGATATCTGGGGAGGTTCTTGAGAAACCAGGGATCTTGACGGATTTCTGGAATGGTAATTCTTTGGACCGGATGCACTTGTAACATGGCACGTATCAACCGTGCAGCACCAGTCGAGATGTAAGAAGGCATGTGGAAATTTCCTGCAGCAATTTTCTTGAACAGCGCGGGAATGTAGTCGTCGTCAAACGGGAGCTTGCCCACGAGCAACACATAGAGAATAACACCACAGCTCCAGACATCCACCTCCGGCCCCGCATACAGTTTGCCTGATATAACTTCGGGAGCAGCGTAGTTTGGACTCCCGCAGCTCGTCTTCAAAAAGTTTCCGTCCGTCATGATATTGCTCAGCCCGAAATCGGCAATTTTGACATTCTTGTCTTTGTCGATGAGCAGGTTCTCCGGCTTTAGGTCCCGATGCACGATCTTGTGCCGATGGCAGTATTCGACAGCGCAGATTATTTGTTGGAAGAACTTGCGTGCCTCCTCGTCATTGCACCGCCCACGTTTCACTAGGTAGTCAAATAGTTCCCGCTCTGCATATTCGAGCACCATCACAATATCGATTTTTGTGGCTATCACAGTATATCTATTTTCCCTCCATGATAAACCCATCCGGTTAGTGTGAACAAGATACGTTTCTTCAGAACAGTAGAGAAGAGAGAAAATGCCAAAAAAAACAGGACACCCCAAATTTGAAAAAAAAAAAAAGAAGCAAAAAAGGAATTTTAACCAAGCACTAGCACGTACAGCTTTATAATATGTGGATGCCGCAAGAGCTGCAAATACTGTATTTCCCGATCAACCCGCCCAACCATATCCCGCGACAATAGCTTCCGTCTCGGTATAATCTTCAACGCCACCTGCCTCCCGCTTGCCTGGTGGACAGCCAGCTTGACTTTGCCAAACGACCCCTCGCCTAGTATCTTCACGGAAGTGTACTGGTCCAGGCGCTGCATGTCCCTGGCGGTGCCGGGGGATTGATCAGTGTAGGTGGGTCGGGACCGGGAGGAGGATGGCGGGATGGCGGAATGGACTCGGGTATTGCGGGAAGGGGAACGGTGCTCGGTTTCATAGGACGGGAGGGATATGGAGAGGTCTTCATCGTCGAGGGTTGCCGCCATGATGGGGCGGTTTGGGGGCGAATGGGCTATAGGGGGGTGTTGTGTTGCTGGAGTTGCTCTAAATGGGGGGGGTTTTCCAGGAGGAGTTGAGGGCGCGGGAACCAATGACGGCAGGCTGTCATGAGATAGGACTGTGTTTGACTGGCGCGCTGGGGGATTTGCTTCTGTTTCGCCCAATGATAGTATGGCTATGGGTGTGCAGGTGAATACATGAGAGGGTTGATGTGGCGTGAAGAAGATGGCGTGGGATGTGTTGTTGTTGTTGTTGCGGTGGACAGCCGGAAATCTGGAGAAGAGAAGGTTTGGTGGGGATATCCGCACTCACTGGTTGATCAGGAAATTTAATCAGGATTAAGCTACCAGAAGGCGCTGGATGGAATATGGAGAGAGCAGACCACGGCATTCAGAATATATAGAATAATGCAAAAAAATATATGTTTCCAGCTGTACGAGTCAGATTCATGTAATATATATATATATATATATATATATATCCATTGCCAAATCTAGTTACCTCATAGTTCTGTTGATTTTATTATAATGTGTGGTGCGATGCATGTACCCCGCACCACTGAACGACTTGATAAAATGTCGTGTGAAAATACCATGGGAGATTCAAGTACTGTCACAAGTAATCTGCGCTGTTTGTTGCCGTAACCGCTGCTTTATTCAATACATTCTCCATAGATTCATATTTTGCAAGTCAAAAATCAGGACAAGTAGATACAGGAGATAGAAGACAAGGAACAGCGTCAAACAGACATAACGTATGCCACCTCTCTCTCGTCAACCCCGCGCCTCTGTCCCCCCCTCCCCCGGCCGCTGTTAATGTATGCCACGTACCGTAGCTCATCTGGCATTTAGGAATAATGCACATAAGAAATAAACCATTTTCCTTTTTTAGTGTCTTTCCCACTTGCGTACATCCCTTTGTGTTGTGTAGCAGGGACTGGGAGGAAATAGCAACAGAGTTGCTCAGAGAGAAGAGAACAAACAAAATGGGGAGAGAGAGACGGGTTGCAGTAATATGAAATGGGAGATTGTCAAAAAAGTCAGACGACGCAAACGCCAGAACACCATACCAGCTTTGTACTATGAGCGGAGGAGAAAAATAAACGAATGAAAGAGTTGGGGTGGACCGAACCGAACGGCGGGATTTAAGAAATGTGAATGATCACCGGGATATCGTGATGCAGCCCCCGCAGAGACTCCGTCCCAAATCACCCATCCTCCTCCCCATTGGTGTGAGGGTGCGACTGCCCCTGCCCATGAGTCCCATGCATCCACACCCTCTTCCACGGCGCCTCATGTCCCGCCTCACGATCCCGCCGCATGCCCTCGAGCACCCCAACTATCCCGCCGCTCCGCAGCCGCTCCAGCACAACGTTCATCCCCAGCTTGCTCCTGAAGACCGCATCCCGCGTCCGTCTGACGCCCATAAGCTCAATGGTCCGCTGGATTCGGGCCGTCGACCACGCGGCGAGCATGCCGCGTTTGGTGTGCGCTTCTTCCTCGCTGTAGATGGGGTTGCCGGCGTCGTCGGTTGGTCGGGCCGGGTTAGGCACCGCTTCGCCTAGACTTGAGTTGAAAGTGACGGTTGTTTTCACGGATGTTCGTTCATCCTCGGGGTCGTCGATGGGTGTGGATGTGCCCGAAAGCCATGTTCGGGGTCTGGGGTCTCTTTCGTCTGAGGCGGAGGGGAGGCTGCGGTAGAGTTGTTTTTCCACGATGGTGAGGATTCCCGTCCACTCCACGTTGCGTGATTCGCTACGCATCCAGCCCTCCTTGGGGTCTACGACAGTCGTCTCTAGGATGAAGCTCTGGCTCGAGTTCGAGTTCGAGTTCGAGTTCTCAATGCCGCCATCTCCCTTGGAAAACAATTTCATCATGCCGAAGGGGACCCTGGAGCCCTTGAGGAGCAGCCGGGTGGTGTGCAGGCGCTCTGTGACTGGGTCGACATAGCGGTCGATGACATCGGTGGTCAGCACATGGGCGGAATAAGGGTTCGGATAGCGGAGGAAGAAGGCGAGGCAGACGGCGGGAAAGGAGTAGTCGTAGTTGAATGAGCTTTGGAAAACTTTCATCGTGGAGGTCGCAACATTGGGGAGGGGAGGGGGTTCTCCGTGAGTTAACTGGCGCAGCGGTATCGAGGGAGCCTGACGTCTGGTGTCTGGCTAGAGGAATGCGAGGTTGAGGGCGCCAGGCGGTGGATATCGACGACCCGCTTGCTTTTCTCTCTCTTTCCTGGCGTTGTTGGGATTTGTTGCAGGCTACTTTCCACCCTCTGAAATCTGCTCTGGAGTCGCTGGGCGTTGGCCGTTGGGTTTTCGCTTAGTCATCTACGGTGTGATTAGTCAGTGATCGCTAGACTGGACACGGTCGGGTCGGATCCCAGCCAATCACGGCACAGAGCTTCAACGGTAATGAAATGAATGAGCTCCTTTCCATATATAAATATATATATATATATATTCCACCCTGCAGCACCTCCAGCTCCGACGATCTCTGATGGCCGCGTACATGAGATGGAAGTATATATATATTTCGTATTTATGTACAGGCAAATCCAAGGTGTCTTGCGTTCTAAAACAAGCAAACAAACTAACAAGAAGAAGGAAAAGAGAGGAGCCGGATCAAAAACCAAAAAGAAGAACCAAATCTACCAAACAACAAAGACAAGTGCAAAACAACAAACAGACAGAATATAAATGCCCAGATCGATCTGCTCTTTGATCATTCATGCTCTCTTTTCATTGTTAACACTATCGGAACTCTTTTCTTCTTCTTTCCCTCATTCTTCATTTTTGCCTTGCTCTCATCTTCTCTTCTCTTGCCTTCTTTGTTTATCCCACCCAACAGCGCATTCACTGTATCTCAGCTCAACACGCGTGTTCATCGCAGGACGCGTTCGTACTTTATGCCCTTGACCGATCCGCCTTGCATCGCGGTTCGTACATCGCGCTTGAAACCCTCGGGGTTTACCCGTAGATCTACAGCTGCTTCGGCGTTTAGGGGATCGTCGGGATTTGGTTCGAGGAAGAGGTGCTGTCGATTTAAAGAAATGGACATAGTTTTAGCATAGGTGTTAGTGGATTCGCTGCTTGTTGTTAAAGGACATGGTGTGGTATGAGCAAAAAACAATCAAGAGTCTCACCATCAAGCCCAACGCGACCATTTTCATACCCATCACCGAGGTCCAGGAACCGTGCCTTGCTGAGTCAGGCTTGTCCAGAATGTTCAGACATACGTTTCCTTCGGGCAAGATGTTGGGATGGTAAATCTTCTGCGTGCATTTCACTGTCGGCGGCAGATCGGGGTACTCGTCCGGGACATCGATTTTGAACTTAAATAAGCCGCCCAGATACATCCCTCCGGGAGGCTCGAGGATCAGGTAAAAATGCATCGGGTCCGAGGGATCGGGGTATTCGAACTGGAAAAATTGGGGGAGGCCTTTTGCTGTCCGCTCTTCATCCTCGTACTTTGCAATATCTTTGAAATCTGTGTGGAAGTGGAGTTAAAATCTTGTGGAAGTTGAGGTGAAACTGGTAATAGACGAGATGGATTAGATGAACGCACCATGTTGCAGACGCAGCTTGACTGCCGGAACCCTGTTGTTGGTCTTTCCTCCAGCAGTAACAGCAGTCACACCAGGAGCGGCAGCATTTTCTCGTTCACTCTTTGTCTGATGGTGTAAAAGTCAGTTCCGGTTTGGCTCACCCGAATGTAACAGTAGAAAGAAAATGATATAACCAAATGCGAAGAACAGAGAGCAAAAAGTCTTAATTCTGATGAAGAAGGTATGAAAAGGAACTGGAAACAGAGAATCATGAAGTACCCTATCACACTATATGAGACCAACCATTAACTTACCCGAAGTTCTATAAACTTCAACATTGTGAAACAATACTTGTTAGTTCGCCCTCTTTTTCTCCAGGTAACAGAACGACACAAATCCACCAAATACGGGCAGCACAAAAAGTGAAAAGAGGGATACAAGTCAAATGATTAGCTGTTGGCTTCGTATATCCCTTGCGTGCCCCAATAAAAAAACACCACAATTTGCTCTGATATCCGCCCCGGTACCCCGGAACAGCAAGCTCTACGAAAAAAGGTCCGTGGTTGGTTTTATTTTGGGCTGATGAAAACTGTTGTTTCGTAATGCCAATAAGACGCTGAAGCTGGTTCCAGGGAGGGATCAGGAACCAGGAGCAAAAAGCGTTGACCGTTAGCAGTAGTTCGCGTTATAACTCGGTGCCAGTGTCCTTATCCCGTCGAGCCAAACATCCGGTTTTTCTTTTTTCCGTCCTTCCTCTTGGAAGATTAGATCAGACCAGAATATACCAGAGGAGAGAAAGGCCAGAGAAGAGCAAATCAACCGTGCCAACTTCTGCTGTCGTCCGTTGCTGCCAACGTTGGGAGTTTAGGTGTCGCTGTAGTCGCGTGAGGGGTTATGAGAGGGAAGAACGGTGGGGTAAGCGGGGGACAGCTGAGGGTCAGATCCAAAAAAGGGAGAGATCGAGTGGAGAAAGGGAGATAGTAAAAGTCCGTTAAGGAGAAGGAGATGGGGTTGTGGAACTCGGCGGTGTTGGGTTGGATGTGTTGCAGGTAATGATCCGATGTGCAATGGAGGGATGGGGAGGAGCCAGAGAAAGGGATGAAGTGTATATACAGTACGCGCTGTGAATATGTACTATGTACTGCATGCAACGTATTGTTATTTTAGTTTCTCGTTCTGTTTGCTTAGCGGAGGAGGACGATATGCTTGTTTTCAAGCTGTGGGGTCGAAGTCGAGGGTGAAATTCCAGGTTCAAGCTGGCGTTGGGGTGATGTGATGATGAAAAAAAAAAAAAGAGGCAGAGTGGCGGGGCACGTGACGTGGTTGTCTGGTTCGGAAATTGGGAGGGTCCAAAGGGTGGAAAAGCGATAACAAATGTATTTTAGGTGTTCGGACAGTGAAATGGGAATGAATGGAATAGAAGCACGAAGGGGCTGGAATAGGCAGAAATGCGAGCCAGCCAGCCTAGTGGATGGGTGTTTACTATAGATGTTAGGCCCGCCGCCAGGGCGAGGAATATGACCGGAATTTTATACATCTTGGTCTTCTACTTTAGACTTCTGGACTACGCAGGTGCGCTGGTATCCACGGCACATCGAGCTACAGAGCTAGAAATTCCTGTTGCTTGATACCTCTTTATTACGTGTAAGATTAACCTACTTCTTCTTGAACAGCAACAGCACAGCGTAGGAATTCCATTGAAGCAAGCAGGAAGGCAAATGGAGAAGGAAAGGAACAAACTAGCATTCGAGAAAAATATAACGGCCAGAATACGACGGAACAAGAGCAGCTGCTCAACTGCAAAATGAGAATTAACAGGACCAAAGGGGAAGCTGGGTATATCCATCATGTAGGATACCAGATTACAAGACTGGCAATCCGACAGCACGAGAAGAGACGGCAGAATAAGGACAACAGCAAGAATTTAACCTCAGCTCAGCTCAGGTCAGTTTCATAGGCGCAAACGAGCGGGGGAAGCGGTAAAACTACGCAGAGAAGGGAGGAAAAACTGTATTTAAAAAAATGTCTTGACATTATTAAACGAGAAAGACTAGGAGATGTAGGGTGAGGGAAGACAAGTGAAGAGAAAATATAACTGAAAAAATACAAAAGAGAAAACCAAAAAAAAAAAAAAAAAAAAAGGTGAAAGAGGAAAGAGGAAAGAGGAAAGAGGGGAATAAACAGACAGCGGTGCATATTTCATTATAAAAGAAATGAGAAAAGAGAAAATTGAGACCGAATTTTATTACCAGCTCGCACGGAGTATGGGGTAGGGAAGGGGTCTTCTGGCAAGCCAAAATAAATGTATGAAGGGGACAAAACAAAATCAGCCTACACAAATTTCGAAACAAGCCAGTAATTACAGGAGACTGCGGACGGAAGGGCAGTGCAGAGGAGAGAATAAAAAAATCAATTTATCTTCTCGCGAAGCAGCACATAATACCCGTCCGGCCGAGGAACCAACATGCACCGATAAAGCGGACGAGGGAAAGTACGGCGGTGGCCCACAGCAGTGCTTGGAAGAAATGGGTTGTGCGTTTTGTTGCGCGGGACTGGAGTGTCAATCGTGTCAGCTTTGCATGGTTATCAAAATGGGGGAAACAGGGAAGAGAGAGAAGAGCAGAACGTACATCAAACCCAAACTTATTAGCATCTTCACTCGTAAATAGCCACAGCCAGAATCCCATTAGAAAACAACCATGACGTCACCAACCGCGTGCGGAAACTCTTATACGAATCATCCAGCGTCTTCTTCTCCACAACCTTCGGCTCAACAAACGGAGTCAACGCGCGTTTCACAGTGCTCTCAAACTGACTATCGATATCCGCCTGCGGCTTATCGATCTCCTCAATGACGGCTTCTTTGCCGCCTTCATCCTTCTGCGTTTGGGCTGAGGGCAGCGCGTCCGCTTTGTCCGCACCCTTGGTACCCCAGGAAACGTCGTGCCAGTTGCTGAAGGCGTACACCATTAGAATGTTTATGAACGAGGACATGATGAGGAGGTAGGAGGGGAAGGACGTGAACATGTGCCATGGGTCGAGGTACAGGAAGGAGGCAACGAAATAGAGGCCGAAGGTTGCGGCGAGGGCTATGATGATGATTCCGGGGCCGGAAGAGGAGAAGAAGGATATCAGGAATGGGCCGATGCCGTGGGTCGTGTCGAAGGCCAGTCTACCGCCGGAGAAGGCGCGGATGACGAGGTACATTGATAGGACTATTATGTAGAATTGGATTATGCCGAAGACGATGAAGGAGGTTATGTACGAGTATTTGGAGCTGGGGTTTTTAGTTATATTATTAGGGAGTTTATATGTAGATGAGTAGTGTGGTGAACTTACCCCTTGGGACGATTACCCAAAGCCAAAATGAACTGTAGGAGCAGGAAGGCTATGTACAGGTACTTCAGAACTGTATTAACGATGGGAGTCGCAGTGTTGCCAAATGGGAATGCGCGCTCCTGGTCACTCACAGACCCTGGGCTGGGCGGGCTACCGACGAGGTCCATGATAACGGAAGTTGTAAGCCAGTAGGAAGCTGTATAGAGCAGTTAATAAACCTACCCAAAACTGGATATTTGTTGAATGGGCGAACATACCAAGTGCAAACCAAGTCAAGAAAACCGTAAACAAATTGTAAAGCATCTGAATATGGAAAAAGAACATGCGCAAAATATTGTGGCCACTCTTATACATCCTCCCGAAATGCATGAGCGAGTAAATACTGGCCGCAAATGAACCGTTAAGCCACCGACGTCTCTGTCCGATGAATTCAGGAGCACCCTCAGGAACATCAGTCTCACCCTTGGACGACTTGACATATGACAGATGCCACTTCGACCCCGCTTTGGCTACCAACTCGAAACACAGAATTCGATCCTCAGCCAAGAACATGTTCTTCTTGAAAATGTTCATGCCCTCGATTCCCTTGGGGCCAAGCTGTTTCGACAGCGTGTGGTCACCGTGGAAATATTGCTCAAGAGGTCTACCCATGATGGCGCGGAAGCGGTAAGCTGAGAACGCGCCGGGAAGCACACTGACGTACCCGAAGGAGGATTCCAGGGGTTTATCGAGAATGTTACTGATTTTGTATTCGAAGTTTTGTGCCGCGACGAGCGGATTGATGAGCTTTTTCCAGCCCTTACCCAACATAGCGTGGATTTCACCACAGGAGCCACCCAGATCTTTGTCATTGTAGAAGGCCTCCCAGAGCGCTAGGAGGGATTTGGGACCTGGTTTGGTGCCTGCATCGAGCAAGATGCAGACTTCCGGGTTGAGGATTCGGCCAAAGGCATTGAAGAGCCATCTGTGAGAGTTGATTTTCTTGCTGTTCTTCTGCTTCAGACACAACATCATCTGGACGGGAGGCAGTGTGGACGGGCCATCATCGTGTGGACGAATGAGTTGTTGGTTAGCGGTCACAGAAAGCTGGGTGGTATATTCAAACTATTTTGGCGTCAGTAGAGTAGAAGTATATTAGATGTGCGCAATCTACTAACAATATGTGCGACAGTCTCCTTCCCGTCGACATCTTTCTTCATAACGCCATCCTGGTAGATTCCCACTGTGGCCAGCACATCGAGGGTATCTTTGTCGCAAGGGTCAATTCCATCGAAGACGAGACAGACAACAATTTTCTGCCAAGCAGGACCGCCCTTGTTCCAGAATTCAGACTTCTTGAGGTTGACAATGTCCCGGATATTTTGCATCACGCCGTGTAAAGTGCGCGAAGTAAGCATTTTATCTTCGTTGTAATATGTGATTGCAACTAAGAGCTCTGTATGGCGGTTATACATTGCAGGCCGCAGATTGTAGCCATTGTGCAATGTGAACTCATTAGGATCACATGTAGCAGCGGTGTCTATGATATCAGTTTAGAAAAACTCCTCTAATTCCCTTATATACACGACACGGTAATAGAGAAACTCACATCGCATATGGGTAAATTCCTCGCTCCCACCCTCGAGATCATTGCGGTATTTAGCCTGCACAGCATTCTGAATAGCACTAGGAACCGGATAATCAACACTGAGAACAGAGCCTTGAACCAGCTTGACCTTCCTAGTAGCATAACGACGTAGATTTCCCGGGCCTTGTCTCTGACGCCAGGCCTCTGTAGACGAAGTTTCACTGCGGGTGTATGGCGATGGTATGCGGCCAGGCACGCCAAAGCCGGCAGCGGGATTCTCGCCCATCTGCCCTCCGTAATGATCTTGGGACTGGGGTTGGTCTGTTACGTAGGATTCTGTCAGGCTGTATCCGGAGGCGGAGTGGAACGGAGAACCACCGCGCTGGTGGGGGTCGTCGAAGGGGCCACTGAAGGGGCCTTGGTTTTGGTGAAGGAGAGATTGAGATGCATCGTGCTCAGCGGGGAGGTTATATTGCTTTGTTTAGGACAAAGGATTAGGTTAAGTCTTGGAAGATGTGGAGAAGAAGTAGGAGAAGATTTGAAGAGTGAAACAAGGATTATCTCTCAAGGTTTGCAACATGGACGTTATCAATGTAACCAGGAGGGGTTCTATGTATGATCACATATTGTAATCAAGGAATGTACATGGACAGTACTTACACTTCCGTTTTGGGGGAGGTCGTGCAGGCGATGGGCTTCGCCGTAGCCGCCGCCGGAGGGATGAGGGCCTTGATAGGCCATGATGGGAGAAAGTGGTCGCAACCAAGTGAGCTACAGGTTTCGGGATGTGTAATAGCAGGTGTAGTTTAAGCTGTGATGAGTGAGAGAGAAAAAGAGACAGAGATGGGCAGGGGTGAGCAGAGGTTGAGGTTGAGGTTGAGGTTGGGGGGAGGTTTGAGAGGGAATAAAAAGAGGAGTTTGGCGGTGGAACACGCAAGAACAAAAAGCACAGAATCTAGACCAACAAAAGAAGAGAGAGAAAGGCAATGGAGAGCGTGCAAGAGAGTGAGAGAGAAATCATGAACGATAACAATACAGGCGACTATTCCTGGGGCCAACTAGCAACAACAGAACTAGCAGAGTTAACCCACGCCAACAACAAGATGAGGGAGTTAGAGTAAAAGAGGGAGAGAGAGACAATTGAGTGGAGGTTTTTTTTTTTTTTACTCAAGAGAGCGAAAAAGCCAGAAAGGAAAATAACAGGGATTTTTTTTGTTTACACGGGAGGCGAGAATGGTACGGTACGGTACCAGAATGTCAAGTTTGGTACGTACACAAGCGGCGTTGCGACCATCCCTGTTCCTGTCACTGTTATTATGGATACTTGGTTCAGGTACCGAGTAATACTCTGCCCGTTGCTAGGGTAAACTTACTGTACCGGTTAGTGCCCTTACGCAACCAGAAGTCCCTCAGGCCTGAAAGTAAAATTACAGGGCGGTGGCTTGTGAGGGTATTGTCCGCCCGCCAGCCCACTCCAGCAACAGTAATCTTTCCGTTGTATGGCATCCTCAATATCACGATACGAAAATACTGAAAAGGCTCTGTATGCTATTTATGGACATATTATCAAATACAGATCACATACGGAGTAAATACACAGTTGAATTAGCTGGCGCCGATGTTCATGATAATCAATGACCCTCGAGCATGCATTTTGATAGAGAAGATAAAATGAATGTTTTCCGCAAAGATTCCATTCCCCCGGGGATCAAAGTCCCACACGTCATTCCCAACCTTTGGTAGGTTACAGGAATAAATCAGTCTGGCCGACCAGCCAGCATTTTTCCCAACCCCCCCACACCACCCCCAAGTCATATAACCGCCAGGTATATTCCAATTTTTTTTTCTTTTTTTCTTTTTTTTTTTTTTTTTTTTTTTTTTTTTTTTTTTTGGCTTCCATCATCATTGTCATATCATCCACTCCGCTCAAGACTTCCTCATCCGCGTTCAGCGTAATGCAGGACGTAGTATGTACATCTCAATAACTGAATTGTCCGTTAGACTTGTCTATGCTTTACTTACATCAGCCCTTCAACACCCAACTAATCTACAAAACTCCGCCACTTCTCCAACCAGATATATTCCCCTCTCTCGTTGCACAGCCTTCCAGGTGCTGTCAGTAGAACAAGACAAGACTTAGAGATGCATGTCATGCCATGCCTTGCTCCTTGTGAGCAACCCAGGCTGCCCACACTGATCTTGCCACACTGATGGAGTGTTTCTGGTTCAGTTCCCCAAGTATGCAAGCTTGCACTTCAGGTCCCTTCGTATTCCGATTCAATTTGTCTCGCATCTTCCCGTGCTCAAAGGACTTCCAAGTCTGTGCGATCCATGAACTGTCGTCTACCTACCAACCATCCATCATTAAATGGTTCCAAGATTGGCAATGCTTAATCATTACCAGACTTCTTTGAACCAATGTAAGCATGTAACAGATCTCTCCAAAAACCGGGCCTCGGTCCTGTCGTTCCCAACGAATGATTATACTCATCGGGGTGCCAGCATTCCACGAGCACTGGTTGGTCTGGGTTGGCATCGCGTTTATCAGAAAGGGAAATGTGAAATAGTTTGATCGGGTGGGCGGATTGCGATACCTTCCTTAACGCTTATCCTTACATGCGAAGGTGAAGAGGTGCTCGGGCTCTACCAATGTGTTTAAAATACCAGTCCCCCACTCTTCAATTTTTCATCACATTTCTCATCCGCCCTAAACTCCACCCCCGTATATTTATATCAAACCAGAATCGACAATCAGGAAATTCTTCCTTGTCTGAACCGCCTAACTTAGGTCCTGTCCCGTAACATCCACTTTTCACTGAACCCAGGTGAGGAGCAGCAACAAACCATCCAATCCCCTAAGACCTCATCTGAAACTGAAACAATCCCTTCTCCATATGTAAAAGGGGCTTGATGATCAAACCTTGGAACTTATCACACCTGCATCCCCGATGGCTTATTACCCTCGAGCTAAGACTCCCCTTTGTCTCCTTAATATATTCAGTTTGCATCAGAGATATAATTCAAGCCAGATCCCAGACTACCAGTCCCAGGTTAACTACCCTGCTGGTATCATAGATTTTCCAACACTTAAAAAGAAACACTTGTGGTAGTAGTTACTACCAGCGAAACATTTTGTTAAATGTTCAAATAGTCAAATATAGCCCAAAAGATAGCCAGATGTTGATTGGCTTCACAACTGCTCGAGGCGGATGATTCACCGATACAAATAATTACTTAAATGTTTCAACTTAGTACAAAATTAAAACCTGATCAGAAATATAAATTACATATTTAACATATAAAATAATATTTATATACTCTATTTAACGACGTGATGGTTAACCATTTAGACAGCGGCCCGAAAATGGTGGTTGTATCTGAATCTGCTCCCATGGCCTCTCCTCCCGCACCACCATACCATAAGTTACCTCTGGTCCCAGACGCTGCTCCAGAGCCTGCCAGGGATGGGGGACGTCGGGAACGTCTTTAACGCTTCACGCCGCCAAATTCGCTCCGCAGGGCGGAATTCCAAGACCACTGCAACAACAAAAGACTAGTATTTCAAGTCAACAGGCTTGAAACGTGCATCCCTTGTAGAGCAGGTCCGTCACAGCAGGAGAACCAGAGGCATTGAAACAGTTATTTTGCTTCGGTGGCTAGGGTTACTACTGAGTTATTTGAGAATTCAACTGATTCATAAACTGTATATCAAGAGTCTGAGATTTAGTTTTACTGACTGGAACTAAATAAACTGGCATGAACTTATTGATTAATTATGTGACTGTCATAATTAAGAACTAATGACCTCGATATTCTTGAGCAGTGAACAAGCAATGAGTTGAGTCATTGATATTATTTCCCATGTCCCTTCTTTATAGATAAGTCTTCTCTGATTATCTTTATATATGTCAACAATCCCTAAGAGCTGATATATTCTTATTAATAACTTCTTTTCACTCTATACTCTTAACTTAACGATCTGTCACTCTTATATAGCCAAAAAATAAAGAAGCTTATAATTAACATAAAACAAACATCAGAGACATGATAATGACATCTATAAAGATTAGCTTAACTCTCTACACTTTGAATCATGATAACATCTATCAGAATGAAATACCGTATGATACAACTTCCTACTATGGCAGACTCTAATCTGTATGAGTTTAAGATCTAAGTATTTCTGTTAATCACAAAGAATAAGTATATAGCTCTGCATAGCCACTAGATTGGAAAGAGAATGGAACTTCAATTAATCAATCAATTGACAGCCTGTATTGATTATTAACATTCCGCTTTGTTCTCCTGGGTTCCGCTTAATTCCCTCATCTGATAAAATATAGAGTGTTCTGGTAACCCCGTCATCGCTAGAGTTGGTGGATCCGATACAATCGATACAATGGTAATTCTTCTACCTCCTTCCTCCAGCCTCTCTTTCGGACGGGGCTTCGATCGTGGATTGGAGCCTTGTAAACGTGCCGGAGAACTCGTAGAATGAACATCGGGATTTTTACGACCGGAATGGGGACGCATTCGTCAGATATGGCTGAGGATGAGCAGAAGCTCACCAGGCAGACGTATGAAGAAGCTTCATTTAGACAATGTTTCATAATGTTTGAGTTACCCACCCCCTATGTATCTGCAACTATAAGGTAGAAGAACCAGTTTTCTGTGAAATCATCTGGCAGGGGCCGGTTTTGAAAGTTCGATATGTAGCAGTCATCATCGTCGTATCCCTGCGCGATTCTCGCAACATCCATGGCAGCATCCCACCTGCCAACGTCATCTCGTACTTTTCCTATCCTTCGCCGACAGTGGCAGTGAAACTCAACGTCTCTACAGACCCTATAAGCAAACCCAGCAGTGCGGAGCAAGCTAGCAGCAAAGACTGAGAAGGATCACAAAAGGGTCCACGCGTCAAAGGCGGGAATCCAAAACTGTCAACGAAGCGTATGTCAACACCACATAATATCTCGGACCTTGTTAATGGGATATACACAGCTGTATAAGATAATTGATTCTCCGCCTTCTCAGGATGCCAGTGAATTGGATGAATATGCATTCATCACTTGCAAACATATTTGTAAGTAAAACGCAGTCCCAGCCTACATACGACTGACATGTGTTCAGACATGAAGACCGGCGAGTTCACTGCACTGTTTACATTGACATCGAATCACTGGGTCTGCGAGATTTCATAAGAGTTATTATGTTGAAGGACATTAGAACAGCTGCCCTTGAGGCAGAGAAACCTGTGGTATTGTGCACCTACACACCATTTGCTGATGGCAACGCACAGACTGAGCGGAATCTGCCATACCATTTCCTTGCTGAATTGAAAGACTATTATTCCAGGTCAGATGAAGAACAGGACAATGAAGGTGACAAGGCTGCGGTCCACCTAGGCCTGCTGATACGATATATGGAGGAAGTGTATTGGTGGCACCTCAAAGTAACTCACTTCAGTCTTGAAACACTGGAAAATATCTAATGATCTTCGCTGAGCGTTTTTCAAACTGTGTGCTTAGCCTATGTGACCTGCCCATCCCAGGTCTGCCCCGCTGTGTTCAGCATAGTTTTGGCAAAGACGAAAAATCACTCAACGGTACCTGTTTTCAAATCCATGGCCACTATTCTGATTTTGGTGGGGAAGTGTTTGGCATGTCAACTGAGACTCTGTCAATAGAGACATTTTGAGAAATGAGGTGACTTGAAAACCTCCCAGCCTATCCTCTAGAATACCACCCGGACCCAGCAATCAAATCACACCTGTTTGCAAGCGGACAAAAATTGATTTGCTTGATGGGCTGCCGTCACTGTCAGTACCAAGGACATATTTTTGTCTAAGAGAAGGACAAACTATTGAAACTCTCTGTGAACAGCAGGGTTATGGTCAACACTGGGTTTTTCGAACGATGAACCCAAAATATGCGAGATTGGAGGTTAAAAAGATGACGGTCTTTGATATTCGGCCAGGTTGTGGAAAACGAAACCATCTGTCAGGTCAAAAGTAACGGTTGAATCCTACTGAGATGATGGGTGACTTGGTTATCTGCACCCCAAGAGTACATGACTTTTCCCTAAATGAAAAGCTGTGGGGTGACATCCATGCTCGTGACATAGTGAGTGGAACCAGACTAACACAGATTACCCAGGAGATTATTGAGGGGATTAAATTCTCCAGTACTCCATGTGATATGTTAACCATCCTCAAGAAGAAAAGAGTCATCAAATCTCTTACTGAAAGCCCTGTAGCGCTACAAATGGAGAAAGCTTTAACATTGTTATTGCAGGAAAGGGTGAGGGGGTGATTATTCTCTTGCTGTATGTTCATTCCTCAGGAACAATATTATGCGGGAAAGCTGAATTCGTGATAACGGCCCCCCAGGAGTGGGAAAAAACGCTTACCGCAGAGGCCATTGCGGAAGAAGATATTTATAAATTTACTGAAATGAGTCTGAATGGTCGTCAGGTGAGAGAATAATATCGACATGGACCGGCAAATGCTGACACGATAACCAAACTAGATCAAGAACCTTGTGAGAATTGCCCACAATGTTGCCAACGCTGATGGTGCCAAATTGTGCGCAACTCATGTTCGTACAGCTCTAACAGCAAACGGCTACACCATTCCCAGTCTAGGCGCTTTGCCATTCGATGCTAGCCTGTATAGGATCTACCAGTTCATTTTGAGATACTGCGTCTTAAACTGAGTCTTAGCCGGTTATTATTATGTTGTTCTCCGACATATCGCTGTGTGGAATATTACCAACTACCAGCTAGATGAAGGAATCGATACGCCTTGATTGCATCGCGGATCGCCACGAGCAGCTCTAAGCGTGAATTGTACTGAGGTCGGCCGGCCAGCTGGTGAGATCGCCAGGCAGCGAAGGACACGGTTATCGTAAGGAGTTGTCTCCATTCTTATCAAAGATGCTCGGCTGATGTACCGATTGTACCGAGAAGACTAGTTCGTCTTCTGGGTCATCCCTAGACAGCTGACCGATGAAACGTGACTGCTTGGATAGCTGGGCCTCCTTCTCTGGAAATCTGCGCTTCCTAGAAGTGGACTTTCCCCTATTTGTAAGCCACGGTGCTCAGTGAATGACTGCCACAAAGGGTTCTGAGACTAAGATTGACTGAAGGAGGAGATCGCGCTGGGGGTTGTACTTCTGAAGTTTGGCGCTTGTTGTTAAAGGTCAGGTCGAGGCGCATCTCAGCGACGCTGGTGATGGTGCTGTGCCAATGACTCTGGCAATTCCTTCAACACCTCCTTGACGTGCTAGTTCGAGATGGTGTACCTCTGGTGTTCGCTCCTTCGCCATCCACAGGAACGAATCGGAACGTCTGTTGGCTGTGATGTATGGCGTCCGTGAGAGAAGGGTGAATGATGAATTAACGGCTGGGAGTCGAGTATTTGCAGCAGTCGAAGGGCGAGTTATTGATCCAAAGACCCAAGAGAAACTGTCTGTGTTAGTCTCCATACGTGGTAGGTACGCGGAATCACGTGCAGAGCCCCCTTGGATGTGCCACTCGACGGCGTTCGCCTTACGCCCAACACTGATCCCCTGGTTTGATTTTGTAGTGCACATGGACTCTATAGTCCAACCACAAACCCAATGCGAGGCATCAAACCCGTTGGCTAGGTAGCCAGTCCATTCTAACCTGTCATGTTTTCCTCCATCTAATATATAGACACAAACCTCCCCGGCAGCATCGGTAGGGGACGACTAATGAGGAAAAACTTGTGCCAAATGATGTATCGCCATGAGTTAGGACGATACCGTAGCAGTGGTGCAATTCTTTGGAACCTGAGGTCACTTCACTGCCTGTTTCTTTTGTTGCTGCACCCCGTGCTTGAGGCTCTTGGGCTGTTTGCTGTTGGAGTCTTCATCCACTCCGCTAGAGCAAGATGTGTTGGTCTTGGTGCTATGATGGGAGGAGTGCAGTTGTTGACACTTCTGGATGCTAGGGTCATTGTATGTTTGAACACTATCATTCCAGCTGCTAAACCTCTGTCCGGAGACTTGTCGATACTTGGGTGCGTCGTAGAACAATGAACAGAGGCGGTTCAGAATATGGACGGATTGGCTTAAGGAATCTTAAGGCCGTCGCCTTGCTGGACAGGATGGGTGAACATCGCTGGCCTCCCAAGGCCAGTCCATCAGTAGGAAATTGCTGGATCAACGAGAATGTTGTGCTGGAGAATGGGGAGCCAGAGAATGTTTCTAAGCAACCAACTGAACTGGTTATGCTGGGCGATGATGGATCAGTCTCGTATACTCTCCCTCTGGAAGAGCCACTGCAACTGTAAGAGCAGTGAGATCTTGAGTGTTGCAAGCGGAAATTTAAGGAGAATTTGAGGTTCGTGCGGAGACGAAGGTTCAATGCTCGGAGTTCTGGGAGATCACCTCAGATATCATCAACATCAAAAGCGGGGAATCGAGTTTTGCTGCTTGCGTGTGGTACAGTACAGCACAATACATGGACGGTATACGTACAGTAATAGTATGGTATCCGTAATGACAGCCCGCCTCTCGTATTATGTATTCCCTTGCTGCTAATAATACACACGCTATGCAAGAAGACTCAGGCTTCGCGGTAGCTGGTTAGAGAAATGCTCGCGGCTTGAGGCTTGGAGCACACGGAGGATTTGCTTGAGTTTGCTTCATGCGACTAACTTACCGAGCTTAGCTTGGGGAGGGAGGGGCTTAAACTGCTCGCTTACTATTTAAGTTAGCGCTGGATGGGTTATGGCTGTGCACAGGTGCTTTGGGAGGAGCTCCGATATCTAACGAGCGGCATTATTATATTATGCGGAATGCACAAGTGGAGAGTTCATTTGATATGTCGGGACCCGTATTTGACGCTGGTGGCGGTTGGTCCCTTTTTTGGCGCGGGTTGTGCTGGGCAATCATCCTGAACGGCAATGAGTCGAGGCTGATTAGTTAGTTAACCGTGTTGGAGTCTAAGAATAGTCAGGCTGAGAGGAAATAATGGCTCTGCTGGAGAACTATTGAAGACGGTGAGCTCTGATCCAATATCTATGAGCGTGGTCGGATCGCGGCTGGATTCGACTGCCGCTTGGTTATTGCTGATAGGGCTGAGATGGTGAATTAATCGAACGAGTCATTGTAGTGAGTGATGCAGGGTTCGCTGTCTGCGTGAATAGTAAAGGCTGCGGTGAAGCGGATGATGGGATGAAGTAGGTGAGAACGAAGGAGGAAGTCCTGCATGGTTTCTATTTATGGTTTCTTGCTGTGGCTTGTGTCTAAAGATGAGAAATATGAAATTGTGTTTGTGCTTGCGATCTAGCTGCGTGCAGAACTCTAGTTTAGTAAATGATGCTGTGACAAGTGGCATTCGATTTTCCTCATGGCGGGATTTGGAGGTTCCCCTCCCTTGCGTTCCACCGTCGCTTGATTATCCCGAATCCGAAAGAATCCATGTGGAAATTCTGGAGGGACATCCACACGTCAACAGCGTCAGTCAGACTTGTGGATATAAGTCATGGGAAATGTCAGTTAGCAACCAAACTTCACCACACCTATTCGAGCCTTAAAAAAGGAAGAGGAGTAGGGGAGGGATCCATATATCAACATACTATCTTCCAGCCATCGACGTCACCCGCGGTAGCATCATCATGGCTCTCATTCGTTTTATTCATGATGCCTTAAAAAAAAAACCCCTCGGGGTTCAGGACCCTTGACGGATGAAATGAAGAAAACACAAAAATTCCAACATATATTTGGGCATGAGATCAGTCACCAAGGAAAAGCAATTACCAATCCATCCGTCATCTTTAAGGCTAGAAAATAGAGTTATCCATGGAATGTCCAAGATCTAACTACCAATAATGGCATCTCGAGCTGCAGTGGGGACGGAAATTTTCAACTTATGAGGATAGCTATGAACCACGGGGGTTATATCCCCCTCAATTGCTATTTTATCGGTTAGTTTAAATTGTATTTGACTGCAGAGGAATAATCAACACTTTCTCATTTAAAAGGGATGTTGTCAGTCTTGGAGGACCGATGAGTCAGCATGACGTTTTGCATCACCACACCGCTCGAGCAGCGACCCACCAAATTTTATATGCTACAACGAAATTAACTCTTATACAGCCAATTATTTAGAAAAACTGATGAAAGTCTTCTTCAAGAGATCGCAACGACTGAATATTTCCACTATACCCCTAATTCCCCTTCTTGCCGCTCACAATGGCTCAATCGCAACCACAACAGCCCCAATCCCAGCCCCGGTTCCAGGTAACCTCAACTCTCCGCTACGACCCATCCCTCCCCAACGACTCCAACATATCATCCTCATATCCACACCCCAGAGACTCCCATTACTATCTCCTCAGCTACCACCACGCCCGCCTGCTTTCCGCCGCCATAGACTTCCAATGGCCCGCTGCCGCCGCGGCCTTGCAGCATCCTAATCCCGATACATGCCGATCCAACCTCGCCCAAATTTTCAACAAATATATCGCCGGCGACCCATCGCGGCCGTGGCGATTGCGCATTCTCCTCGACGCCACGGGTGAAATCACAGTCGAAGCTGCCCCAATCGTCATCTCAACACCGCCTTCGCAACCCTTGCTGATATTACCGGGCGACGGGTGCGATTTCTCTACCCTCCTACCAGAATCAGACACGATAGATACACAACTCCCCACTGCAAACAGAAATATACAGAAGATAGACCCATGGATTCTCCGCCTGGACACACAACCCACCACCCCCTCCCTCTTCACCCGCCACAAAACCACACTCCGCGAAAGCTACACCACCTCCCGCGCGCGCGCGGGCATTACTTCCCTATCCGATCAGACGGAGGTGTTGATATATAACCACACTGGCGAGGTGATGGAGGGGAGCATCACGACGGTATATTTTCGGCGGAGGCGGAGGACAGCAGCGGAGTGTGAGAGTGGAGAGAGTAGCGTTGACGATGAGGGCGGCGGTGATCGATATTACTGGGTCACGCCGCCACTGTCGAGTGGGGGGAATGCGGGGACGTCGAGGAGATATGCACTTGCGGCAGGGTTTTGTGTAGAGGAGGTTGTGAAGGTTGGGGAGTTGAGGGACGGGGAGGTGGTATGGTTGAGTAATGGGGTTAGGGGGTTTGTGCCGGCGGTGTTGAGGTTAGAGTAGCGGGTAGGGTGATTATGGGGAGCTCTGCGAGGGATATATATGTGAATGAGGGTTTGAGAAAGGGGATGGATGGATGAGTTGTGCTTTACATGATTTCAATTGTCCGACATATCAGCTCGTCTGCATATTGTTTCTCTCTCTTTTCCAAGTTCTATGCCCATTCCATTCCAATACTGTTTTTGAGTCGTCGAATCCGCCCAAGTCTTCTCTGTGGACAAACACGCCCTTACTTCTCCACCTTATACTCCTTGGCTCAATGAATAAAACCCTCCCCCTGCCACTTCCCCACCGGCAACATCCAAATTCATGAATTGGTCATAACCTGTCAACCGATCGTCTACGTTATGAACCAAGGACCACTCACAGCACCACGGAGCTACCTTCCTATCTACTACCTACCTCAAGGCCAGACAATATACATCTCCTCACCTCTATCTCGTCGAACACCCAGTCCATGTCAGCTGCGATATACATTATATACACTCATCGACCTACGTCCGCCGCATTCAGGGCTCCAGGGACTAAAATAAAGCGTGTTGTGTCATGCCGTATCATGTCTTCCTACAGTCCCCATAGCAAGGCTGGGGTTGTTGCAATTGGAGTCAGATTCTATGGGGCAACAGTGATGTCGACAAGGGTCATGTGTGTAGATGTGATTGCATATATCAATGAGCTTGAGATGGAAGAGGGACCGTATTTCGCAGTTACATATACTTTGTATATTTGCTGGTTTTTGAGGATGTAACTATGATCAATTCATGATTGAGTCCTTACTGACTCATTGCTCACTGAATTGCATGATATAATGTAAAGAGAGAGCGTGAGCTCTGACATGATAGACTTTAGTTTTGAGGAGTGGAACTTCAAGCTGTGTAAGAACGGAGAGAATTGAGCTCTGTGTTTTATAGTGAGTGTGTAGAATCACGAATGAAGTTACATATTCTGATCTTGATCTTCCATTTTCTTTCTCTTTCAGACACAGATAGAAAGTACAGTGAATGATCAAAAGAGCAATTCTTGACTAAATACTGTTCTGTTTAACTTCCACGCAAAGCAGATGAAATTCAATGAATTGAGATTGACTATCTATTCTACCTACCTAATGACAGAATGGCAAGTTTGGTTCCCTTCCAATCATCCCCACATGTGAGGTTGATTGGAGTTTGCAGGCCACAAGAATGGAAAGCTGCTCACGTGATGGAAGTGTCCGACATATCTCTATCAGAGCTCCAGCCACCCCCTTTCTCCATAATCTTGGCTGCATCAGAGTACGGGGATGATGCTCCATGCAGCGGCTGGCCTAAAGATATATCCTCAGGGGAAGAATAATTTATCATAAAATCTGCCATCAAGGATCAATGTGGACGTGAGAAATCTTCTGAGGTTTTAGCCTATGGAGATGGCATCTCCCACAACTCTGTTTGTCGGATTTTGAAGCAGCATGGATTTGTGATAGCGAAGCCTTTATGGAAACCAGGGCTAACTGATTCCTCTAAGAAACGCCAACTTAGATTTTTGCTCTTGAGCACGAACATTGGAGTCTAGATGACTGGAAAAGAGAGATCTTGGAGTGATGAGACATCTGTTGTTCTTGGTCAGAGACGTGGAGCTGTTTGAGTGTGGCGCCAGATTCCAGAAGCCTATGATCCCACCTGTGTACGAAGACGATGGAAAGGAGACTGTGAGTTTTTTATGTTCTGGGGGTTCTTTTCACACAATGGAAAAGGCCCGTGTCATGTATCGGAGCCAGAGACTGCTTGAGATAAGAAGAATGCAGAAAAGGATCTCGAACAAATGAATATGAAGCGTGAGGCTGAGCTTTAAGGCTGAATGGGAGGTTACTACTGGTGTGTGACTAATGGGATTGTGAAATCAGACAGGCCAGAAGCCTCGATGGCGATACACTAGAGCAAATGATAAGCTTATTCGTGATGGAAAAAAGGGAGGAATTGATTGGTATAGATAGTGATATCTCTTATAGGCTCTCAGCTAATTGCTCTACTTTCTTAGATGATTATCATCTCACAATTGATTTCTTTTGCCAAAGAATGTCAGCCCTTCTTACTGAATGCAAATGTCCAAAAATGCATCAGCACATGCACAGCCCTATCAGATGAAAATATACAATCTTCATGAGATTCAGTGTCTTTTTCGACCAGGTAACTCACCGGGTCTCAATCCAGTTGAGTTTATGGATGAAGCGTCGGACTACAGTTTGAGGAGCTCCACGAGATAAGAAAACTTTTAAGAATTTATTGGACTAAAAAATGGAATGATCTGCCACAGCAGAAGATTCAAGCATGGATAGAGCGGATAGCTCATCATGTTAAGGAGATTATACGCTGTAGTGATGGCGATGAGTTTAAGGTCGTACAGGGAAGAATAGCTGTAAGCAAAGCTGGAAGGTCCGTGATTAAAAGAAAGCTATTAAGACAGGAAGATCTTGGGGATCTCTAATTATCAGATTCAGTAGTTATAACAGCTTCAAATTGTCAAATAAATTAATATTTTACTATCCTACATATAAATTACGATGGAAGAGTGATACATAATGATACAGTCAAGGTCACTAGCGCAGAAAGTCACATCTCTTCCTTGTTCCCATATCACATTTATTATTTATATACACGTCTCCAGTCTACTCCGTGACACAATACATACAACATGCACACTGCACCAGCACCAGCATCAGCAAGAGCACAAGTAAATATCAAGAACGAACAGAATAACGATCCTTTCTCGTCACATCGTATCTGCGAATGAAATAACCAGCTCCCATATCCCTGTCAGGGAAACGGCGTCATTTCACTCTAGACATCAAAAGGAGGCACGCGATTCAAGACGATGATGAATACAGGTATCGCATCACACCACACCACACCGGGACGCAGACGCAGACGCAGATGCAGATGCAGACACTGATGTGGATGAAAACGCAATGAGACTGAAATATTTTCGCAATCGGCCACCAATATCCACCTGCTCATTTCCAACCTAATCCACTCCTACTCATCCCACCCCCGCCTTTCTCGATCAGATTGAGAGGAGATTCTACATTCTCTTTTCATACCGTAATGCTTGATTTTGTGTATCGGATGTGGTGGGATTGGGATGGACGGTAAGAAGTCTAGTCAAGGAGACCTTGTGCGCGCTCGGATTCGATACGGGCATACAAGCGGTCACGGGCCCGGACGCGGGGAAGGTGGTAGCCTATATTGGGTTTTGTTAGGGGATATGTATGGGCATTGGGTCGGGAGAGGGTGTTTGATAAACGTACCGTACCAGAAGAGGTAGGCGAAGGTTGTTCCGAGACCTAGAATGGGAGGTGGGATTAGTTGGGTTATCCGTAGGGTAGGTTGGAATGGATTGAGGGGTTCGTGGAGGTGGAGTGGGGTGATGTATGTATGTATATATATAGAGTTCTATATCACACTTCTGACCTCCCCCGCTTGTATGGGGGAAGGTGTCGGGAATATATATTCAAGGATTTGCCTCAAACTCACCAAAGGCGGTGCTAAGATGCAGCACGAGGCCCCGACGGAGCATCTATGTATTATGTTAGCATGGGAATTGGGTCAATTGGGTGCTGTGATGTTTGCCGGGTAGGGCGGGAACGGGAATGGTCGAATGAAAATAGGGCAGAGCAATGAGAATTGGGAAACGTACACCCGTGATGGGTTTGATGGCGGCCATTGTTTCCGCTCGGGATTTGGTGAGGTATAGACGAAGCAAACACGACGGAGCGTAGGAGGGGTAGTGGTAGCGGTTGTTGTGCTGCTCTCGATATACGAACAGACAGAGGTTGTAATTGTTGGTAGTGTGGAATGTGGCTGCGGGTTGGAGCGAATGGACTGAATCCGGCGGGTGGCAGATTGGGGCTCGGATTAACCTGGTCCCGTGATGTTCGAGGAACTTGTTGATTTACCGAGCAACCAGGGAGGTCAGGAGGTGAATATCCCGAGTAACTTTATGAACTACAGCATGGGAGAGTGAATGCATGGATAGGTCACTGCGAAGGAGATAGATACACAGGTTACTATTGCCACATCCCCCATTCATTCATTCATGCATGCATGCATGCATACATAACGATATGAGCTATTGACGTTGAACGTTGAATTGGCTGCTTCCACGTGACCATGCTGCTTCAAACCAACCAACTCCGCAAAGCGAAGCAACCGCATTCAATAAGAAGATATCAACAACGGACACGATAGACAACAGGAGGCAAGAGAGACAAGAGATATCATATCTCTACGATCCCCCTGATCTCTGCTCAACTTACTCAACTACTCACCGGTTTCTCTCATTGCTTCTCCGGCCTCTCTCCCTCTATATAACTCTTCTATATGCAATATCCCCATTGCAGGCTCGCCTCCACTTCCAGGTCAACTCATATCATCTCATACACACCAGGGACCTCACCATGCCTCCTCCAACTGCTCCCATCCCTCCTCCTGCTCTGGCTATAGCTTCACCTCCGGTTCCAGCTCCAGCTCCAGCTCCAGCTCCAGCACCAACGCCAACACCCTCAACAAAGATCCCGCAGAAAACGACACTCCCCTTCCCCCTCCGCATCCCCCTTACCACAAATGAAACCAGACCCAGAAGCAGTAGGAGTAGTGCAACCAGAACCCGCGCCCTCACCGTCCCTCGCACATGCTTTGAATTCAAATTCAAATCGAGATCCATCCCCCAAACGCCAACGAAAACGCTACCATCATTACCACTCTCTCCAGCACCGCTTCACCCACAACCTCCCCGACGACGCGCTGACAGCTGACTCTGCAGTTGATACACTGCTAAACCTATCCATAGGCCTGCTGCTGCTCCAGAGCGGGTTTACGCATGCGGAACCTGTGGCGTTGGACGGGTTGAGGAGAGGGGTTGAGGAGTGTACGTTAATTTTTTTTTCTTCTTTTCTTTCTTTTCCATTTTCTTATTATATTTTACATGTAGGATTTTTGGGCTGTGTTTTATGGTATGCTAATAGTATGTTAATTGGTATATGTATGTTGTGTTGCGTAGACATGCTCCACTTTCTAGCCTACACGCGCCAATCCATGGCCTCCTGCCGGCGCACACAGCCAATTCCCATCGATTTCCAGCACGCGCTGCTCTATGCCAATATACCCGTTGACTCACTCCGAGCACATCTCAAACTATCTATGCCGACTCATCCGGCAGCGGCAGCGGAGGGAATAATAACAATACCAACAACCCTCCCCTCCCCGCCACCCTCCTCCCCACCACCGCACACTAATCTCCCCTTCCTCGGTCCGGAACTCATCTCTCCAACCTCCATTGACCACGACAGACAGGACCAAGGAGCAACACGAAGGCATATTCCCAAACACTTCCCTACGTTTCCCAGCAAGCACACGTACCAGGAGACGCCGATGTATATCACGCGCGAAACGGATCCGAGGAGGATTAGGGAGAAGGCGACGGAGGAAGGAAGGTTGGGGGAAGAGGCATTGAGAAGGTTGGCGAGGGTTGCGAAGGACTGGAGTGGGAGTGGTTCTGGTGCCGATGGTGGAGGGGAGTATCGGGAGAACATGCTTTGGGGGAGGAAGGGGGAGAGTATGGAGGGGATGTTTGAGAAGACTGTGAAGGCGGTTTCGAGGGGAGTGGTGAGGAGGGAGGAGCAACAGCGGCAGCAACGCAACGGTGGGGATGAGATTGGGTTGGCGTTGGGATCGGGAAGCGGAGTTGGAGGTGAACCAATGTCATCATCATCGGAGACTGCGAGGGGGGGCAATATGAAGCCGTCGATAACGCCGCCGGTTGTGAGGCTGGATCTTAGTCCGGTTGTCAATTGTGATAGGGCGTATTGGTGGAAGGTGACGAGGCCGGATGTCAGGGGGAAGATGGATGGAGCTGGAATCGGTGGCGTTGTTGGGAACAAGAAGGGGAGGGGTGGGAAGGCGGGAGTTGTGGGTTGAATTTTCTTTGATATGGACTGGGAAGGGGAATGGACACAGACACATGGTGTTTAGACTTTATACCCGTGCAGAGATTCGTGGAGTCGGGATGACATTATTTGACATTCGCCCATTTGTCGCGTTATATTAAATACGTATTATCATATCGTATATTCAATCGCCTCTCCATCTCTATTTCTGCACCCCCTTCTTCTTCTTCTTCTCGCTCTCGTTGTCCCTTTCTTTTCTCATCCCGCTCCGCTCCCACGTCGTAGTCTCGACCGTAAGCCCATTCGCACACCTACACACCCTCACCACATCAGCAAACACACGCCACTTATCTCCACCAAAAACCAGAAACCAGAATCCATATACTACGCACCGTCTGAACAACCTCACCACACTCTCGCACTCGATGATGCCGGGTGCTGGCACCTCTTTATTCGGCGGGTTGCAGGAGTACTGCACCATCTCCATCAGGGGGCATTGGAGGAGGTCGACAGGGGGTTTGCGGGGAGTTTCGCGGTATTTTTTGGAGGTTGTGAGGAGGGCGGTAGGGAGGGCGGAGGTTGGGAAGGGGTGGAGGAGTGTGGTGGGCATGGTGGGTTGTAGTTTTGCTAGGTTGGGGTAAGAGATATAGAGAAGAGGAGTGGGGATATGGGGAATTGGATGGAGGAGTAGTATATTGGTCGAGTTGTGTATGGTGGAAGGGTATGATGGGGGGGGAAGCGATGTTGAAGTTGCAGAGGATAAGAACTGGAAAAATATTTAGGAAGTAGAAAGGTAGGCTTGGCAATTGGAGGCATTGTGGAATTTAGCAGACCGTCAGCTCCTCCACGTACACACCACCAGCTATATACGCCTGTCCGCCTCTCGCATGGGCAGACAAGCACTATGCCCTTCGCATCCGGTGGAGTGAAGGAAGCTGGAGTATGACCCAGCATAACGAGTGAGTGTGAGCAAGCATGGCTGCCGCAGCGCGAAGTGACCATGCGCGCATCTACGGCGAACATCTGCTGGGCGGGGTCAGGAAGGAGAGTCTGGCGGAGGTATGTATGCTGTGCCTATATGCTATATCTGTGTCTGATCTGTTACTTTTGTGATGTTTACATGTGGTGCATGAGATGCTAACTGATATGGATTTATAATAGCTCCTCTGCACCCTCCATAACCCCCCGGCAACAGATGCGCAATATGCGCCGCTGGGTATAAGGCCACTGGATGATATTCTTCGTGTGTTTCAGGCGGAGTACGGACGTAAACATACCTATACGCATACAACGTCTCCACCCGCCCCAGGAGCTGTAGCAGCAGCAGCAACTCCACACCAGCCCATCCTTGAAATAACCTCCCCACACTCCGCAGACGGCAAGACGCATCTCCTATACTACATCACCGCCATCGCCATCTTACCAGAGATGTATAAAAATACACCTCTGCCCGGCCGCAATGGCGCGGCTGTCTTTATCGACACGGAATATCGCTTTGATGTCGTGAGATTACGCGAGGTTATGAGGGCGATTATACGGGATGTTACACACCCGGCTAGGAGTGGTCGTGGGGATGGGAGAGAAGGCTACGGGGGATATGAGGATAGGGATATGGATGTGGATATGGATGACATGCTTCACAATGCCCTGGCGCACGTTCATGTCTTTCGGCCGCAGTCGTCGGCTGCGCTGCTGGCGACGGTTGAGGGGGTGGAGGATTACTTGCTTCGTGGCGCGGAGAGGAGGTGCCACGTGTCGCATTTAAGACCATTGAATGTTATTGTGCTTGATAGTGCTAGTGCGTTTTATTGGCAGGATAGGAGGGAGATGGAGGTTCTTGGGATCCCTGGCGTGCGGGAGGAGAGGGAGAGAAGAGCTCGCAATGACGAGAGGGGGAATGGGAATGGAGATGGAGATGAGAAGCACACAGGCACAGGCACAGGCACAGGCACAGGAACAGGCCAACAACAGCAACAGCAAAACCTCCCGCAGAAAATCACCCGCGCCCTCCAAGCCCTGCAACACACCTTCTCCTGCCCCCTCATATACACAACATGGGGTCTCCAGCCCGCTCTTCCACGTCCATACACCCAACTGGCTCACGCCAACGCCAACGCCAACGCCAACGCCAACGCCAACGCCAGGACCTCAATCGCAGCACCGAACATACCCCTCTATAAATCCCCCCACCCCTCCTACCGGCCGTATCTGCCCCGTCCATGGCCTTCACTCGCGACGTGTAGGGTTGTCTTGCAGCGTGAGAGTGTTAGGTCGTTTGCGCCGCTTTTGACGCTTGAGGAGATTATGGGGGAGGCGGGGATGAGGTTGGAGGTTGTGAGGAGGGGGAGGGTGGTGGGATGGGTGGATGGTGGGGTGGGGGCGGAGGTGAGGAGGGGTGGGACGGACATGGAGAGGGAGAGGGAGAGGGTGGTTGAGGGGGTGTTTGGGTTTTGGCTTACGGGGAGGGGAGGGGTGGAGTGGCTTGATGGGGATGGGGAGGTATAGGGATATGTGTATGTGTATGTGTATGTGTAGTTGGAAGGGAGAAAGGGTTTGAATTACTTGTATGTGCAAGGGCCTATGGCTATGAATCTAGTCTACTACCTGTATACATACATACGTTCCTACTTACCATATACACATATATCACCACGTCTATATCCCACCGTCTGCCTGTCTCCCCTCCCCCTCCGACCCCCCAAACATCTCCCCAACACTCTCCAACCCAACATTCCCCCCGCTCAAAACAACCCCAACATCCCAGCCCCTCTTCCCACTAACCCTACACTGCTCCACCACCCTCCTCCGAAACCCCTCATCAAACAAACAAACCGCCAACCCAACCACAGCAGACGGCTCAACAACAATCTTCACCCTCTCAAACACAAGCCTCATCGCCTCCCGAATCTGCCGCTCGCTCACAGCATACACCCCCTCCACCTTCCCCTTATCCGAAATAACCCCCCACGGCACCTCCCCGACCGGCGTCCGTAACCCATCCGCAACCGTCAGCGTCTTCACGCTCGTTATTCGCGATCCCCGCTCGAGACCGCGCCGGCAGTCGTCGCCGCCCTGGAACGACGGCTCCGCCCCAAACACCCAGGGCCGTGCCCCGCCGCGGTAGCCCGAGAAATACGTCGCCACCCCGGCATTCAAACCCCCGCCGCCTATCGGCGTTATCACCGCGTCCAGCGTCCCCGGCTCCGCATCATCCGCATCATCCGCAGCATCCGAATTCGCGCTCCCACCCCCTTCGTCCCAGTGCACGCTAACCCTCCCATCCCGCCCCATGAGCTCCCGCACCTGCCCCGCCATCTCCACCGCTACCGTGCCCTGGCCCAAAACGACATCCGGGTGGTCGTAGGGTGGGATGAGAAATGCGCTGGTCTCGCGGACTATGGAGGCGACGGCGGCTTCGCGCTCTTGGCTTGTGGGGCCTGAGAAGACGACGCGGGCGCCGTGAGCGCGGGTGCCGGCTATTTTGGACCGGGTGGAGATCGAGGGCATGACGATGTGGGCGGGGATGTGGAGGGTGGAGGCGGCGAGGGAGAGGGCTTGGGCGTGATTTCCTGGTGAGGGGGTTGGTTATTTATTTGTTATTTTTATTTGGGGGTATATATATATATATATATATATATCTTTGTGACGATGTATTTGATATGGAAGTACGTGTCTTGCAGCCGATGGACTAAACGGGAGCATACCAGAACTATGCGTAACAACACCCCTCCTCCTCACCTCCTCCGCGCCCACCACTTGCAGCAGCCGCAGCAGCGCATGAAACGCACCGCGCGCCTTGAACGCACCGATCCGCTGGAAATTCTCGCATTTAAAGAAGAAGTTTATCTTGGGGCTGGCGGGTGTTTGGCCCTCGCATGGCGTGCCGAGGAGCGCGGCGGGCGATTGGGGGGTCGAGGCGATGCGGTTGAGGGCTCTGCTGGTGAGGAGCGGGGTTTCATGGATGTAGGGCTTTATGAGGGCGTGGGCGGAGAGGACGTTGGAGGCGGTTAGGGGGGTCCAGTTGGCTGGGTCTGTCATTGCTGGGGGCGGTGTTGGGTTGGATGAGTGCGTGCTTTGGGACGTTGGTTGTGGGGTGTGGTTGGTGGTTTTGGTTGTGGGCGGCTAACGTGTGGGGAATCCAGACTGGGTTTGCGGAGATGGGGATGTATGGGTTAAATATACCAATATCAAAGTCTGAAGAGCATGGAGAGATAAAATATGCACAACGTAAACTGGTGAGAGAAATACGAGGATTGCAAATGTCGCATTCGCACATCTACACCTGCTTATGGACTTACAGTTCAGACCGGAAACTGGAAGGTTTGCATTACAATAGCTGTGTGTCTATGGTACGTAGCAGGGCGAGAATGAAAGTAGGCCTTCATTCTTCGAAACTCACCGGACGGCAGGAAACGGGACAGAATAGGGGAAGGTGACTGGAGATGAAATGAAAGGTGAGAAGTGAATTCAGCTCGGCAGTCACATACATACATACATACAAATAAAGAGCATGAATATAATCCGAGGTGCGAGACGGGGAACATCTTATTTATGAGAACAAAAAAGGGAGAACTTTTTTCTAGGGCCGTCTGCTGTCTTCTCGTGCTTTTCCCCCCATTGTGCATTTACCCTGCTCTGCTTTAGCTCGCGCTCTCTTTTCCTTTCCCAAATTAACAAAGTAGAAATGTAGGTTAAAGACATAACTAGAAACACACCAAGTGCTGCTGCTAGACAAGACAAGAACTAAACACGGATACGCAATGTCGTCTATCCATCACAAACTATACACAACAGTACCTCACTCATTTCTGGTTCTCAGGGCGGAGTGATCTGGAGTATGTCAGTACACCGTAGAACGAAAGAAGAGAATGAGAAAAAAAGAGACACGAAACTCACCGCACGGCCTTCCCAGCCCTCCAAATCTCCAAATCCCGAATCTCCTGCATCTCCTTCTCGAACTTCTCCCGATAATCCGGCTGCGAGTTATACTCCAGACTCCTCTTCGTCTCCTTCCCATTCTTCACACTGTCATACAACTCGTTGAACACCGGCTTCAGCGTATCCTTGAACTTGCTGCTCCAATCCAGCGCGCCCCGGCGCGCCGTCGTCGAGCACGCAGCGTACATCCAGTCCATCCCGTTCGCCCCAATCAGCGGGTACAGGGACTGGGTCGCCTCCTCGACCGTCTCGTTGAAGGCTTCGCTGGGGCTGTGCCCGCGTTCGCGCAGCACCTCGTACTGGGCGAGAAACATGCCGTGGATGCCCCCCATCAGGCACCCGCGCTCGCCGTACAGGTCCGAGTAGACTTCCTTCTCGAAGGTGGTTTTGTACAGGTAGCCGCTGCCGATGGCGATGCCGAGGGCGATGGCTTTTTCTTCGGCTTTGCCGGTCACGTCTTGGTAGACGGCTATGGAGGAGTTGATGCCGCTGCCTTTGCAGAAGAGGGTGCGGACGGTGCGGCCGGAGCCCTTGGGGGCGACGAGGATTACGTCGACGTCGGGGGGAACGTCGACTTTTGTGAGGTCTTTGAAGACGGGGGAAAAGCCGTGGGAGAAGTAGAGGGTCTGTTTGTATCTTAGTGTATTTTTTTATTTTTATTTTTATTTTTATTATTTTTTTTTCTGTTAGGAATGTCGAGATAATCAGATTACGGGTTGGCATACCTTTCCCTTGGTGATCAGGGGCTTGATGGCGGGCCAGGTCTCGCTCTGGGCGGCGTCACTGAGCAGGTTCATGACGATGGTGCCACGCTTGATGGCATCAGTTACGTCGAACAGGTTCTTGCCGGGCACCCAACCATCCTGGATGGCCTCCTTCCACGAGGCGCCGTCCTTGCGCACACCGACGATGACGTTGAGGCCATTGTCGCGCAGGTTGAGACCCTGGCCGTGACCCTGTGAGCCATAACCGATGAGGGCGAGAGTGTCGTTTTTGAAGTAATCCTGGGAGTTGTTGTTAATGGATGATACACGCAAATCTAGTCTGTGTTGGGGAACTTACAAGGAGCTTCTCTCTCGGCCAATCAGCACGTTCTGGCAGTTGTTACATGACACCGTCAGCATGAGTAGTCCCACACTACCACAGTGCCCCGGCTCGCAGCTTCGAGCTACCCAATGCCACAAAGATGGGCAAATTTTAAAAATACACACCGTAGACAGTCTCCTTGGTGCCGGCAAAATCAAGGGTCTTCACCCCGCGGACCTGTTGGGCCACGGGGGCAGCAAAGGCAGCTCTGGCGGCCGCCGTGGCAGCCGGGCGGGCGGCGGCGGAGACGGCAGCAGAGACGAACGAGCGGCGGGACGCACTCGAAGCGGAAGCCAGGGATTTGGCCAGCGAGCCGCGCAGGGCGCTGGCGACAGGTCTAGCAGACATTGCGAGGACAGACGGGATCAGTTGAACTGGGGACTACAGCGAGGCAGGGAGGCAACGAGGCAGGGAGATAGATTGCAGGATTGAAGATGTCCAGGTGTCGAAGGTTTCTTCTTTGTCTCGAGGCTGTCGAAGTTAAAAACTTCCGCATCGGGGAATTTGTCATCCGCGAGAGGATTCTGCCGGGGGGACGGCTTGCTGTATCGGCTCACCGCCTGGCAGCCCGGCGCCGATGTCGGGAGAGTCACGTGAAACACTGAATGCCCAAATTTTTATTTCCAAAAGGCGGATCAAACGAAGGCGACCAACTCTATGAACAGTGTGGAGGAATTGCTTAGAGAAACTGCATAGTGAAACTGGAGAGAAACTGGAGAGAAACTGGAGTCAAACTGGAGCTTGGAAAACAAAGTCAAACGATAAACTAACTGTCACAACGCTGCGATGAGCAACCCACCTCGTCCTCCCTTCTCTCCGCGACGAAGAAGGACCCCTCTACAACTCCCTCAGCTGCACGGATACCCCTGGGAACCTTCCCGGCCCCCCTAAACAAGGCGCCCCAGGATGCGACAAGCACCCAAAACATCCCAGCGGACCCGGACAAACTTCAACCCTGGCCTGATCTTATTAGAAGGAGAACCTGTTAGGGATGAGACAATGCGTGCTCAGACAGCCCCAACCAGCGGTGGAAAGCCCTGCCTTCACAGCAGACTACAAGCTCAGCGCTTTGCAAGAGCCGGCTTCAGTCCTCGAGCACTGCAACAAGACCTAGATCCAGCACTCGGTGTCTTTGGGAGGGCACTCGATCCAAGGCACTGCACAAGGGCAAGTTCTCGTTGTGGTATCACCGGGGGGCATTCAAGGCTTAACTAAATCAAAGCCTAGTCGGGATTAAGACTTGCACGGCTGTTGCAGCAGCCAAGGAAACCCTCTGACAGGCGTTCTTCAGCCATCTCTGCAGCAGCAGGCCGGGACCCAGACCTTCAGGCCATTAATGAGTGGATGCAGGCTAATCCCAGACTCAACCTGGGGGATCACTGATACCTAGCACTGCGCATCAATGATCATCTTGGCTGTATCTTTCTGGCTGTCTTCTTTGGCCAAGGCAGCGTTCATACTCGGACATGCAGAGCAGCTTAAGCTGCTGTCGGACTGTCCCACTAACCAGTTGACGAAATAAAAGATTATAACTTTGATAGTCAGTCTCAATTTCAGAAGAGATGCTTCTCTGAAATTCAAATACGACTTATTAGACTCTAATTATGATGTAATATACGTTCTCGATGTCAATCTTCATGAAGTGAAAATCTGAGAAGCTCATCTTCAAGTACTGCTCTTATTTAGTCATCTGCTAATCAACGTGAGAAATCATCAAACGAGTACAAAAGGTCACAACTTCATGGAAGGAAATTTCTTTGCATTATAAAGAGTGAAATTTTACACACTGTAAGCCAATATTAAAAAAAAAAAATCGTCCAGAATTGGCATCGTTCTCTCACTTGCAGATGAGAGAAAATTGTGGTCCCAAATAGCTATAGATCTCAGTGCTCGTCTTTCAAAAGTCATTTCTTATATACTTCATCTGAACTAAAGATCTACGATAACCCCATGATGTTCAGGCTCCGCCTCCGTACGATCGAAGTGGCGCTATCACTTATTGTTAATTTATTTATATCTGTATAAATATCTGAAATCTCTCTTTAGTTGAATGAATTTAAATATATGTTTAGATATAATCAGCAGCGCCTTCACTAAACCCCTAACTGCCGAGGCGGGGCGCAATCATCCTCGCACAAGGCCCTGACTACTGAAGCCCTGCCATTGATAAAGGAAGCCTGACCCTTACATGGTCTGTCCTCCTTTTCCTTGACGATTCCATTCTGTTTTCGCACGCGTTAGCTATCGGCTGTTCTCAGCGACCAGCCCGCTACATTAGGAATCGCTCATTCGTTTATTCCTCCTGCCATATGAGAAGAAAACAGCGATTCGAGACTGGGGGCGTTAGCTCCCCCGAAGCGCTACACACGGGATAGGGCTGCTCACGGACGAAGAGATCCAACGCATCTCTACAGCCAGCCACAGGAGGTGCCGAGCCAGCGAAAGGTCTGAAGACCCTGGCTCTGAAGACCCTGGCGACCTCAGTTTATGCAATTTACCACCAACGTCTCTACCACGAGTGACGAAGAGTTCTCCGACTCGATCAGGGCCCTCCGTATGGGACCTGAAGATGCCTCCGCAGGTGCACCACCTGCGTGGCTCCAAGGACTCCTCCAGCAACAGGCTTCGCGAGAAGAGGCCTTTTGGATCGAGCTTCGAGACCTAAGAGCTCAGCTGGCTGCTGCTACCAGCACGCCCGTCATGGGACACCACTCAACCATCCACCAAATAGCACTCCCCTCCACCCTGAGCAGCAGCGTCCGAAGGAGAAGCTGGCTCCGCTCGAGACCTTTGACGGGACTGATCTGGTCCGATACCCCGCCTGGCGACTCAACACCAGGGCCAAACTCCGTGTAGACGGCGGAGCCATTGGCCCCCTCGATGACCAGGCCTGTTATGTGTTTGACCGCCTCCATGGAGCCGCGGCGACCAAGTTCCGTTCATGGATGGACGCGCAGACAACCACCGATCTCGATCTGGAGACTGTCTTTGCTCAGCTGGATATCCTCTTTTCGGACCCGGTCCTTGCTGCAAGAGCTCTCAGCTGGCTGCAGAACACCCATCAACGCAGTCTTCCCCTTGATACCTTGCTTCCAATCTTCGACCAGAAGATCCTGGAAGCCGAGGGACAGTTCTGGGATGGCAGAATCAAGATCAGCATGCTCCAGAATGCCCTCAACTGGGAGCTCCTGAGGGCGATGGTTCCACAGGCTGACACGGATAATTACGTGGAAATACTGCAGCCAGGCTCCGTATGGTTGAGGCTAGGCGGTCTCCAGGTGAAGGCCCTTCAGAGCTGTGGCCAGAGGAGGGTCGTCCCAGCGGCGCCCCGGACCACTGCCGCGAAGCCACCCAGAGTCTCTGGGATCTCCGGTGCCGACGCTGCAGAAAGGCGCGCTCAGGGCGTGTGCATCAACTGCGCGAGGCCTGGACACATCGCCTCGCGCTGCACCATCCCGTTCGTCCCTGTCATGCAGCGCCCTGTTCGCGCTCGCGACGCCTCAGCAGGAAGCCCCAAAGGACCCTCGAGACGACGGGACTTGAGGGTGTGTGTGTTCAGAGCAGGGAAAAGAGCAACTCTCACCCGCAATCGCCGATGAGAGCTAACGGCAGAAGGACTGGAGGTGGAGGGCTTTTGAGGAACGAGACTGTTCATGTGATATAGAGACGGCCTGTATAAGATAGAGACCATTGTAGATAGTGGACTATGTGCCGATATGCAATGATTCCTTCAATGAAAAACCGTCCGGTTCAATCTGCAGTGTATTTGCCAGCTGAAGGACAAGTGCATCTCTGCTGGCTTTTGACCTGACTGAACTGTAGGAGACTGACTACTGACAATGAAGTGTGATGATCTTGTGTCTCTATGTCTAGAATATCTCTGAGTGCAGTTATAGATCTGTGGCAATCATCAGATGATTAGAATGAGAAAGTGTGAAGATGTAAAAATCCCAACTGTCCAAATGCTTTACAATTACTGCACTCTGACATTCGCTGAGCTGAAATTTCCAGTCGGTTCAACCCTCTCCTTCCGTGCCATTTGAGATACAAACATCCTGCTGATGCTCTCTGAGAACGAATACTGAGGGAGATGAACGTAGTAGGTTCACTATTCAGTGTCTTATGAGTCTCATCGACTGCAGTAGTTAGCTGCTCTGAAAGACTTCTAGTCTGACCTTGGCCAGCGTTCATCATCAGTAGCAGCAGCAGCAGCAGCAGCATACAGCACGCACTACTCTCTTCTCCTTCTTCTCCTTCTTGACCCTGTGCTGATCGTACAGCACTACTTTTTCTCCTCCTTCTTTGACCCTGTGCTGATCATGCAAATCCCTACTGCGCGGGAGGCAGCAGAGCGACTCCAGCCGCCCCGCGCACGGAGGCCCAGCCATCCCGCCACCCGGCCTGGCAGCCAGTGACGGGCCCAGGCTTACATTTGGGAAACCGACGGCGGGGCGGCGAGAAAACCTAATCCCAGTTTCTGGTTATCTATAAGTAGTATGTATGTGTATCTTACATGTAGTTCTTGGGCCTGTCCGGCTCTGGAGATGAGATAATGCATTCATACGTAGATGAATCTCTGGCAAACAGCGGGTGGGAGCAGCAGGGCAGCGCAGAGCCGACGCAGCAGCTGACAGACAGAGGCTGACGCACGAACACGCCAAATCACAGACTGAGCAGATCGCTGCTGGTGGTTGGGGTGGAGCCGCTAGGGGTTCGAAGGGGCGTGTCGCGGCGGTCGGGGAAGCGGGAGGGAGGCATGGGGGGTCGCAGGGATTGAGATTTCTCATTCCAATTACGGGTGCAGTCGTCATGCAGAAGGGCTTTCCAGCAGTCGACACAGGATGCCTGGAAGACCCGCAGTGGTCGCAGCACTGTGTGTGTGTGTGTGTGTGTGTGTGTGTGTGTGTGTGTGTGTGTGTGCGCTGGAGGGGTTGGGGAACCCGCAGCAGGCGGCGTGTCCAACCGCCCGTGAAACACAGACATTTGACGGTGACCGGTGGCAATGGATTGCTGGTGTCACTCAAGAGAGAGAACAGAGGGACAGACATAGAACTGGTAGAGCTGATAGAACTGTAATAGAACTAAGAACTGGTAGAACTGGTAGAACTGATCATAGACTGCTGCATCAATAATAATAGGCTTACCCTGCTGCAACCGGCGATCGAGGATTCCCGCCTGCTTCTGTCTATCTCTTTTCTACCTCTTTCTACCTCCAACCTCTACTTCAACCTCTACTTTAACCTCTACATCTACCTCTACCTCTGTCTCCCTCTACATCTACATCTACATCTACATCTACATCTACATCTACATCTACCTCTGTCCACATCTGTCTACTCTTACCTCTACTCTTCGTTTCTTTGTCTTGTTCAACCCAATCCCGCTTAGACTTTGGCGCCAGCCCCCAAACACCAGCAACAGCCCATTGAACACCCTTTTCGGCCTGTTGCTAGGCTGCGCAGGGTTGGGGTCAACCTGGGACGTGAGAGGCCATACGATGCTAGCTGAGTGAGAGTGAATATGATATGAATGCTGAATATGAATATAAATATGAATATGAATATGAATATGAATATGAATATGAATATGAATATGAATGCTGAACCATGCTGATGCTGAACCCAGTTAACTAGTCAACCGGATGAGATTATGCTAAGCAAGCCCTCTTTTCCTTTCTTTTTCTCGCGTCCACGACGCAGCAGCAGCGGCAGGGAAGCAAAACCGACAGGTCAATTGGATAAATACTGCTGCTGGCCACTGTTCGGTGCCTCTCATCGATCCATCCCTCCACACCGTATCGTGCGTGACAGCCGTAGACCCCGACTCGGACACGGACACTCGACCAGCGGGTGACACTGGTTCCTTCGACCCGTGACTATTTATTGAGACGGCCCCGGTCTCGCTGGATCTTCTCGCTTGTCTCTCGCGCTTTCGACACATCGCGAGTCCGTCTCCCGGCTGCTGGAGCCTGACAACGACATATACTTATCGCCTGTACGCACCACCGCTGCGACCACCGACCATGCCTACGTGCTGCTGGCTGCCCATCCAACACCCATAGAAGCCAAACATATTCACAATAAAATAAATAAAATAATACAAAAAATAAATAAATACAAAAACCATCCCCCTTCACTGGAAAAGAACCCTCGTCTGGACACCCACCCGGCCTGACTTCTTTTTTATATGATTTGGAAGTAAAAGATATTTTTTAATGTTTTTTTTTTTTTTTTTTTTT